CCTGAAACCAGTGTGGAGATCTGCACTCAGCATGCGGAACAAGATACGGATTTTCAACACCAACGTCAAGTCAGTGCTCTTGTATGGCTCAGAGACTTGGCGCGTCACGAAAGGCATTTCCAATAAACTACAGACATTCATCAACAACTGCTTACGCTCGCTGCTGAAGATCAGATGGCCAGAAAAAATAAGCAACAAGGAACTCTGGGAACGAACCAACCAAGAACCTATCACGCAACAAATATGCAGGAAGAAGTGGAGATGGATTGGCCGTGCACTGAGAAGGCCGACTGAGGACATCACGCGTCAGGCCAGTTGCTCGAGTGGAATCCCCATGGGAAGCGACGAGTTGGACGTCCGAGGGTGACATGGAGGAGGTCATGCGAGGAGGAAATGAGAGCTTCTGGGCTGTCGTGGGACCAGGTTCAAAAGATCTCAGAGAACAGAGGTCACTGGAGGCGTGCTACTGAAGCCCTATGTTCCACTAGGAACCCAAGGGACTAATAATAATAAAAAATGATAGGGGTCTGAGGGCGAAGTTGTACTGCTGTTAGCTGGATGGGATGTGACAGCAGTAAGGTGTTTCCCTTGGATGACCAGCAGTCCCATGCTGATGCTGCCTTTCAGTGGAAGGGGGGGGGGGGGTTAGAAAAGGTCGGCCTCCAAAATAACACACTCCACCATGCCCCACTGTCTGCCGGCCGTGTTGCTTCATTTGTCGTTTCTTTTCGACCATCCGGCCCCAAAAATACAAAAGTTCAAAATAATCATACACAAAAGGCTGTGTGTGACATGCCTCAAGCAGATGTCCGATGGGCTCTGCGGTCACACAAATCTCTTTCAGGTACCTTAAGAAGAAATAGCCTTCCGCGGTGTGGGCAGCCGGGAAGTGTCAACCGCCCTCACAACTCGACCAGCACTCAAGTTTCCTCAGACTGCTATCCACCTTCCCCATCAAAATTGCCTAAATAAGAATGAAGGGGTAGAAACATAGCTTGATGTAGTTCCGACTCGCCTTCATGCATTGACATAAACAACACACACACACACACACATGTGATAAGAACTACCAGCACATGTGTACACACAAACCACAGTCTGGAGTTCACAGACTCATTATATACCATAAATGATCGTTGTTCATCCAGAAAACTCAAATCAAGTTATCATATATAAGCGTGGATATTATGAAATTCGATTTACTATAAGGTTTGATAAAACTACTAGCATTAAAAATAGTGAAATATAAGTTAAAACGAATTTGCTTTGTTTTACAAATACTAAATGCTGACTTATGTTTAAGCTAGTTCCTGCAATTCGGTAGTGACGTAAGAGGAACTAATTGTCACTCGTTTAATGACTCAAATGAAATTGACGCCTGATTAATAACTGGGTTATATAAACCCAGCATGGCCATTATAGAAATGAGAAGGCTATTGGTGTTCAACCACCGTTACCTTTGTAACATAGACCGTGTATCATGGACTCACCACGTCAGTAACGCTGAATTCAGGTGTAGAATTTTAAAGAGTGGAGGAAAGTCAGTTGATGGTTGTGAATCTTCAATGACTGAAGTGGCTAGGGCATGTGTAACGCATGACTAGTCATCGTCTGCCTCGTCGCAAAATCTTAGCTGAAGTAGGTTAAGGGTGGAAAAATGCTTGGGGTGGCCAGACTAATACATGACATTATTGCATGAAGTCCTTAAGTGTTGGTCTGAATCAAGTAAGGATGTAGACTTCCCGGTTGGGGTTCATGTGACAACAGAAACCAGTGGTTAGAGAATCTAGGTGACGTGGCTTAGAATCGATGTCAGTGGCGCAGATGTATCCATATTTTATATGCATCTTAACCGCAACACTGAATTCAGCATTCGGTAGTTCCTCTACCTTCATTTTAAATGTATTCTACTGATTTTGACAGATTCTTCTTTATTTCTTCATCTCACTACCTTGTTACTTGTTGTGCTGATATGAGGTGTAGCAACTTGGACCGGAACGTGGTAATACCTGGTCCTACGTTGATATTGATTGGGTCTCACAGCTCAGTTGGTGGAAGAATGCAGGTCAGTGAGTCTACATAAGATTAGCACAAACCATTAGTAATTCACCAGTCACATAAATAATCCTGTGAATAGAGAGACGAAAGTATTGTTCAATCCTAAGCATTTAATTTTGTGTAGCTAACTGAACCAGCCAAATTTACAATGTACGCACATGCACTGACAGAGATATTGATGATACCAAAGTAAGCAGAGATATGCGTGTATGCACCTCAATTCTAGAAATTCCGTCAGATACATATACACAACAAAAGCAAACCCATGAAGACCGAACATTCAGTGACTGAGGTGTGTGTGGGAAAGAAAATGTTCACCTCATGCGTATGACTCAAAACAAGCATCTTTGCAGGTCAGATGAGTCATAAGCAAAAGCGTAACGTAGGCGACAGGAAATGTTGGAATCATACACATAAATTCAAAAAGGGGTGACGGATATGGAGTGACTTTAAAGGACACCTTAACAACCAATCGGACTCCTCCATTTCAGTTAGAAAGGCCGTTTCAATGGTTGCCGGGATGGCCTTTGAAGTCACTCCGGATGTGTAGCCAAGTCTGCATATTTTTATATAGTAACTTTGGTAAACGATGATTGGTCCACGAGATTTCACAATCAATCAGAAAGGGAACAATTCAATTTCACTCTCAATAGCAAAAACGTAAACATCTTGTCGATGACCACTTACCTAATGGTGTGAATGGGACCAACAAAGAATCTTTCAGAAAAGTTCAGAGGTTTGAGATACCCAGCATAGAAAATGAGTAGAATAAAAATGCTGAAAAAAACCCTGTGTTGTTATTTTCCAAGCATTCTTCAAAATCTGCTTCCTATTCTGTCAAGAAGCCCAACCAAGCAACTCACACTATTTCAAGTAGTGGACATCACACATTCTGGTCGAACCAGTCCAACATCACGAGTCAAAGTAGACACAAAAAAGACTGAAGATCAATAATAATGATAATAATAATTATTATTGTTACTATAATATGTATATTATCACTCATATTCCAAATTGCAAAACCAAACGAGAATAACAATAGTTATTATTAACAACAATTGTAAATAACAACAAAAGTATTGAAAGTTTAATTTCAAACTTCTAATATGAATAATAATAATAATATATCATTGAAAAACACCTGAGTTTATATATCACCAGCCACCATAAACTGAAAGTCCCAAGATGAGCCAAAACACCCGGAAAGAATGTACACAATGATGGCGGTTCAAAGCGAAGTGATCAAAATGTAACAAATAAGCCCAAATCTTCAATATATTAATAAATAAATAAACATATATGTATTATATATAATATAGAGTAGGTGGGCAAGTGTGTAGTTACGGGGATTTGTTGTTTAGCTTCTTTTTTTACATATGCTGCTGAAAAGCATTTCATCCCACCACCAAACACAAAATAATCTATTTGAATGTAAAATCAGAAAAAAACAAGAGAACAGGCATAGAATAACAAAAAGAAAAAAGCTTGAAAACAAACAACAAGGGCACAGGGAAAGATTACACAACGGTATATTTAACGAAGACCGGTTGTTTAGTCGAAACACATGTGTAATGGGTGTTTAGATACGACACAAGAGTTTCAATATTTATTACTACTAACGCGTAGTCGAAGAGGAAATAAAATTTGTTGCTTGTAAACACATACAATACAAGAGGAACATTTTACTAAAGATTTACACAAATAATGACGATGTTGATGACAATAATTGTAACACACTAGAAGAGAAGTAGCTTGATATAAAAAATAAGAAATAATTTTGAGGTCATTTATTTAAGCGTGGTGTTAGTTTTATTACTCAGAACAAAACACCTAGTTATCAAGTCAAATCAATTCCTAACACTCCACCGGTTTCATACTCTTTAAAACTAATTACGATGTCAACTACTTAACACTCCACCCTGTTGCTAGTATTGATGCGACTCTGCAACAAATAATAAACGAAGGGGGGAAGCGGATAGAAAAAACAGAGAAAGGGTTCATGTTCCCAGGAAGAAAAGAACGAGTGACTGAGAAATCAAAAAACAAGAGAATGGAAACAGTTTTTCTTTAAAAGTACCTATGCGAGAACACCAATAGAAGAATGCAGTGGGCTATCATCACTCTTTCTGTTTTTTTGGCAAGCCGAGAATAAAGATGCTTGGCCAAAAGTTTCATTAAAGGATGATACCAGACATCACATGTCAATGGAAAAAAACTTTGCTGCTAAGCTTTTAAACATCCTAATATGTTTCAGAGTTTTTTTTAAATTGAGAAAAAACCACAGCCAAGAAAGAGAATAGCACTAAAGAGGAATACACTTTTTCATTTAAAAAAAAACAATGTACAAAAAGTCAGGAGTTTCAGGAAAGTAAGTCATCTAGTATGCATACGCATACTCAAAAACACATGTATACACAAGCAAGGACTTCTGATGTCGCACTGGGGTAGGCCGACCGCTCGTCCGTCAACTGTGAAATCTAAAGCAAGGAGACTATTTAAAGTGTATGCAGTACATATAACACACACCAACTGTAGCAATGATAACAGGAATAAGTGAAGTTTACTTTTCTAAGAGATAGACAAATTTAAGCCAGGACAGAATAAAGGGAAACGACGACTGGAAGTGAAAGAAATTAGGGTGTACAATATTTCCATATAGAGTAGGGAAAAAAAGAGGAACAGGAGAAACAGAAAACATTATTCGTAAAGTAAGTTTTCAAATAAAAAATAGAGGAATAATCACGCCTTTCCTGTAAGTTATGCAGATGGAAACAAATAATTATACAAATAAAACAATAATTGGACTATATAAACGAGATTAAATACATAATCAGATATAATTCATTGATAGTGAGTGAGCGAACGAGTGCTCTACAAAAAAAGCTGTAACAGTGAAATAATGGATTACAAAAGCCAATAGATAATAATGATAATAATACGATTCAATCCCCCTGAGATGCTTGATGTATATTATTACTGCTATCATCATTATTATCATTAGTAGTAGTAGAAGTGGAGATGGAAGGAAGGGGTTCAGAGGGATTTGAAGAGTCTACTTTCTTCTGCTTTATAAACAGGCAAGAGGATATAGATTCTAAAGTAGACAAGAGATGTCTTAATTCACTACAACACGTCAACTTTTCAATGCGTACGGCAAGTGATTGAAAACTCGATAATTTCAATAACAGACGTCCCATACGTCCGTGTGGTGCATTCGGCCAAACTTGATTACAATAATATTCTAGGCCAGAATAGACATGATCCCGTAATAATTCAATCTGTGAACGAATATTATTGAGACAAGTCAGCGAATCTAGAAGCAGGTAAACAACAAAAGAGGAAGAGGGACAGAAAGAGATGTAAGTATATAGCTTAAATATTAAAAACACGCTTCAATTTTAATCAATTTGAAGGTTTGTGGGGATTGGTTGACTTCAGAGGAGCTTTCTTCATAGATAGAGATCAATAAGAAAACGATTGGAAAACTGGGTGTCCTGAACAATTGCTCCGGTCCCCTTCACTGGACTCCTCAGCAGTGCGCACACACGAGCTCGTGAGAGAATGAAATCAAGATTGTCAGCTTTCATGATGAGTATATTACTGCTCAACCAGTGGGTTGGAATCCAATAATTTACTATTTTCAACTTCTATCCATTCGTGATATAGCTCGCGTATTTGTTCTTACACTCTTAACAGAAGCGTATAATACAAGAGGATCAGGAGGATGATTACAATCAGATAGACAGGTGATGACTAAATTGACTCTATTTCGTTTCTCAGGACATCAAAACAAAGCATGAGTTATCTACCGAAAACATTTCTTTATATTACAAAAAGTAATGAACTGGCCTTGATCAACAGCTATTAAATACAGAATACTCAAAGCTGTTATTTTGAGTTATTTTTTTCTATATTTGCCTCAGTTCAATTACGAAAATCACTTTTCATAGTTTTCTTATTAACAACCACTTCTAGAGAATAAACCTTTTGATTAGTGAATGAGTTAGATCGGACTCACCAACCATGTGATGAACTGCCCTGAAGTTCTTTTTGTCCTGATGTATGGCTGTGAGAAATGGCCGATAAAGAAGACATAAAGCGATTACAGAGTTTTGATCACGAATATCTTTGCAGCATTATTGGCGTTTAGTGGAATCACTGTGTGAGGAACACTGAGGTCAGGCAAAGGGTAAGGGCAAAGGGCAAGACGATTGATGGGGTTGTGGACCTTCATCGACTGAGGTGACTTGGACATGTAATGCGCATGCTAAGCCACCTCATCCCCCGAGGTACCGTACTAGGGGAAACTGAATTAGAACGGAAGAGGGTTCAGGGTGGCCAGACGAGGATGCGGGACTAGTAGAAAAAACTAATAACTGTTGGTCTGGGTCGTGTGGAGGAGATGTAGATCAGATGGCTCTATGGGGTCACCGAGACCAAAGGAATCAGTGGTTGAGGACACTTAGTGATATGGCTGAAAATCGGTGTAGATGTGTTCACTCATTGACGTCTTCTAAAGGTTGAATATTATCGTTTGACTGTTTGTACTGTTACACTACTCTATCTTTCTTGAAATTACTCTTTTCCTATCCACTTGTGCTTGTGTACTACAGTGAAGTGTGACAACTCAAGGAGATGAACCTGTGTGCGAGGTTCTACGTTGATTCTATCTGCCTGTCTGCAGATTCAGAAAACAGAAGCTATGATGCACACTTGTTTGCTAGTTAATGATACAACCACCTAACCAACTGCTCAAACTGATGAATTTGCGGTTATACATTACGAATCTATTAATTAGGAAGTCACAGTTTCATGAAGCTGATGACATAATTATGTTCATTTTGCAGGATTGATCATGCGGCATAAGGTGGATGAATAACCTCAGTCAAACAGAAATCGAATCAACCAACTCATTAGCAGGCATAGTTAATATTCATTTGCCTGTATTTTATATGCTTATAAGATGACATCATAGGAATAACAAAGTGGTAAAACTGATAATTAAAAACTACTCCCTCTAGAAGAATATTCTCCCAGTAGAACTACTGACTGGAAAACCATGATCCTTCGGTGACACACAAAAAATTCTGAAAAGGTATGTGGCACAGATTTTTGCTTTGACTTTTACTCATTTAGCCCGAATAAACCTCTTGTTCGAGATTTTGGTCGGCAAACGTCTCAGAATAATAACAAACATTATCATCATAATCGCAAATTAGACGAAAAGCGAAGTTAATTGATTATGCGTATGTATTTCATAATTGATTTCAATCGACCCAAAATCGTAAGTGATCAGATGGTTTCCTCTCTTTGAATGAATTATAATAATAATAAAGTTGCTTTAGCGTAATTAATTAGTCTTTCTCATCTGAATGAACTGACGAAGTTTGCCATCATCTGATTAGATGATTTCTTTAAACTGTATAGTTCTCTGTGTTGTCATTCCAGACAGCTGGTCCCCTGATTGTCAAGCAAGGTGTTGTTATTCTTTAGATGGGATTGAAATGAACTCAACAACCACGCACGCTTTCGCACAATAGGTAGTAACGAGCCACATCTATCATCATCTCAGCTTCTCTATTTTAGCGTTGAAGTAACTTGCCATTATGACTACATCTGGCATGGCTTTCGCTGGCACCTGTCAAATGTAAGATGATCCCGCAGTACTTGTTTGCTGCTAGTACTCTAAATTTAATAATAGGAAGTGATTTGCTGGAATGCGTCAACCACTCCACTTACTTGGGAAGTGGCGTCAGACCGAACGGTCTGGTTGCTCGCTAACGAAATCTCAGTTAGGATACAAAAGGTCCACTCAGCACTTGCCAGTTTACGTCATCTGTAGCGATATATCCAACCACCTACCGAAGGACGAGTATACCCGAGCTGCAGTCCGTTCTGTCCTGTTCTATGGCTGTGAGACATGGCCGTTAGAAGTAGACAATGTTCTAGTCGTAGGTATATTTGGTGGAATCACTGTGTGAACCATATTGAGATCAGATGAAGGGTACGAGATGAGATAAGTAGTTCGATTGATGAGGTTGTGAACCTTCATCGACTGAGAAGGCGTGGACATGTGCTGCACATGCCGATCCATGGCATACCTCGACTTGCAATACTAGGGGAAGTTGTATTAGGTTGTAAGAGGGTTCAGGGTGACCAGACCAAGAAGTGTGCACTAGTTCATATATTCTGTGAATGTGGGGGCTCCAAGACCCTACAGATCATTGATAGGAGACTCTTGATGATATGGGGTAGAACCCGTGACAGTTGCGGTTATATTCAATATTTGTTGTCTTCTACAACTTGAATGTTTCGACTGAGCTTAAATTTCAAATGTATTCTCATACTTATACTTTTAACTTCTTTGATATGAGTCATTTTATATCCACTTCTTGTTTGTAAACAGCTGTCAGTTTGAGCAGGTTGAAGCGATGCATTCGTGCAAGGTTCTACGACAGTTTTTTCTGTCTAAGCGTAGGTCTGCGCCTGAATGATCCCAGGAAAGAAACAACTTTAAAGTTTGCTGAGAGATGAGAACATCATGTCTGCAATTTTGTAGCCTACGTGGAACCGCTTGATGGGAGGAGACTCATCCGGTTGTCTCCAATCATGATAGGGAGTGACAAGAAGCTCAAAAATACATTGACTAGGAGTCTTCGCAATGAAGATGAAAAATGGTGAATGAAGAAAGCGAAGAGAATGGATAAGGGATTCTGCTATACTACGCCTCGCAATTATTTAGCCTATTTAAAGAGAGTGATATGAATAAGGTGACGTTTCACGAGACTATTGTGGAGAACGATTGCCCGCTGATGACCTTCCAGGAGAGATGTTTTGAACCATGGATAGAACAGTTAATTGGCTCACAGTGACACCCGGTTGCCCAGTATCTAATTCAAAACTAAATGAAAAGTAGATGTTGGTTTTCCAATTTTCCTCAAATTTGACAGGGCTATCTGAAATCCTGAGTCGGTGCAAAGTGACAGGAGTTAATGGTTTGTCACTAGAACTTATTGGGAATGGAGGTAGGAAATTGCTGAGTAGAATAATGGATCTACTCGATAGCACATAGGAATTGGAGGTCGATCGTTGATCATTCCAGCCTATAAGAAGGGAGAGAAGTCTTCTTATGACAACCATAGGTGAATCAGTTCGTATCCAAGATCCTAGGGTGCAAAGTCATCAGACACCTAACTGCAGCCTTGGGATAACAAACTCGATGAAACCAGACAGGTTTCAGATCTGGTCGAGAATATATAGGTCACATCACCTTTCAACAGTTTTCGGAATGTCAGCACAACTAGGTGACCAACATTTGCCATATTTCTTGACCTGAAGGCAGCATTCGTCTCAGACAGCTAACAGGTGTTTTGGTAGTGTTTGACTGCAGGAGTGCCGAACAAATATGTAAGGGTAATAGCAAAGCTCTCTTACTCGAACTGACGCAGCTGTGTAAGGGCTTATAGAGAATTGTCACCTGAATTGACAACAACCAGCGGTGCCCACCAAGGATGTTCTCTGCATCCATTACTTTGTAACATCGTTACAAATATGTTGGTGCATACAGACCTTAGTCCTACTGAAATCTCATGGATTAACTTACTCCCAGGTCACCTGAATGGCTTGGAGTATGCAGACGGTATCGTCTAGTTAGGTGAAGACACTGACAGAGTGCAGGTTTTTTTAACGCTGAGCAAAAATATAACTATGTTAGGCATATGCTTTGTACCGGTAGAATGCAAGAAGGTGTTTCAGGACTAATCTGCACCAATCACTATATTGGGGATAGAGAGCGAAGTAATAGGTGGGCTGAGCACTCTTCACCCGAAAACTTGCAACAGCCCTATATGGCTGGACACTAGGAAAACACTACCTAGGGTAAAAAGGCCGTTTGCACTTGCTAACTCCCATCACCTCACGGAACTGTAAGATATTCGATTTCTCATACGACGAAAATACTCCACAGCAGTTGACTCGGTCTTGTCGTAAGATTGTGAGACATGAGGAGACTATGGTTTTCATCCGAGATGACTTTGTAGCACTGCTCACGTGCAGTGAAACCACATGAACGCTCCGGAGGTTAGATGTAGAGTATTAGACAAGGAAGATAATTCATTCGATGAAGTAAACTTGCATCGACTGATGTGCCTTGGACATGTACTGCAAATACCATACCACCAACTTTCTTGACGCAACATTTCAGTCAAAAGAAGCGATCAAAACAAGATATGGCACCAGTACATAGTCACTGACTGTTGGTCTGAGCGCTTAGGGAAGTGCAGGTTGTCTGGCATCCTCAATATGCTTACGAACCAATGATTGGAGACGCACTCAACCATATTGTGCACATCCATTTAGTGGGCGATCGGCCACACCTATTGTGTGAGTGTTAGTGATACTACTTGGATGCCCAAACCTCGGTAGAGGGGGCAGGGTCTGAGCCCATGACCCACTAGTTGATAGCCATCTCCTTAAACCACTAAGCCAAAGCTATGAGCTACTGAATAAAAAATCACATATATAAGTTGTACACATTTGAACGAACCGTGCCGCTCAATTCAGTCGAAGGAATAATATTTCACCACATATTTCGTTCGACATCCTCATTGAGATAGCTAGCTAATACTTTGTGAACAACCTAAATCGATGGTTGGAAACGTGAGGTGATATGGCTGAGAATCGACTGGAGTCACGCAAAAGGCACCCACACACACTTGCTTTATTCTAACTGTTACATCACATGTTGTGACTTGTTTCACCCTCTTACCTGTTTATGACTATCTACAAATTTTGATGACACTATATTCTGCATATTTCTCTCTTTCAACTTACTGCCTTACGCTTTGATGTGCCATGGAAGTTGATCAACTTAAATTGTTGCGTTGTATCGCTGCTTCCCATTGGTTGACTGATTCTGAGTACACTAAACAGAAAAGATGTCATCAGTACATGCAACTGGTATTTTTTGCTTTGTTCAAAAATAGTGTGCCGTTAGAAGCAGTTCTAAGCTGTACTTATAAACGGTGATTGGCGTACATGATCAAGTGTTTCTATTAATTATCACAACGACGCTTTTTTGGTGCACAAATCGATATTCTCAATGCAAATGCATCATTTCTAAGCTATACCACCTGGAGCCACCAACCACAGATCTTGGTGGTCACGTAGACCCCAACTACGAAGTATGCATCATCCTACACAGCTCAGACGCACAGTCAAAGACTTCATGGGCTGATGTAATGTTTCAGTCTAGTCACCTTTAATCTTTTTCTCCGGCCTAAACCTACTTCGACTAAAACTGTGCAACGCAGTGGGGTAGACAGTGACTAAGCATGCATGTAAAGCCTGTCCCACCCATCTGAGTCGATGAAGGTTTGTCACCTCATCAACTGATGTACCTCTTTTACTCCACACCTGAAGTCTACATTACTGATGAGATGGTTCTAAGGCACACAGGCAATGATAAGAAGGCAACTGTAGTCGAACATCTGAAGTCTTCTCACGTCCTGCAATTTACAGGGAACTGGCTATGCTGTAGAAATAATTTAGTACTACTTATACTCAACTGACCAATCAAGCGGAAAATCATGTCCTGTAGACCTCAATGATCACCTTTCTGGCTCGAGCGCTGAATGAATGAATTTGATTCGCCAAGGGGTTGAAGAGTGCTAGCTAACCAATATGAGACGTGATTCTAGGGTTTGCTGTCGATTGCCATCGACCACTCGACGTCAGATAAGAGTTTTTATAAAAGTATCACAGTCACATTCACTACTCTCATCTTTCCATCCTAATTGCTTTTATTCACAAACTTGTTTACTTTCCCACCCTTCACCTAGTCATGTCGATTACGCGTTCAATCGAACGAATCACACTTCGAATGTTTTATGACTACTGAAATGCAATTTCGAAAATTGGTTTCGCATGGGTTGCTTTGAAACTGCAAATCAACGCCACTCAGAGATATTGAAAACCTGGGACTGGTAAACAACTGCTTCATCCTAGTTAAAGCTTCTCAGTAATGTGCACTTGTCAAATCTAAACTTACATGGAATAATTTTAATTTAATAGAAATCTCGAATTAACTCACCTGGATTAAGTAGGAGTATTAATTTTAAACATCCTAATTCCACAGGATCCAAGCGTAATGGCTTCAGTTTGTCAGCTAAGCTAATAATTAACTTCTGTACATTGGTTGTAGTAAATTTTTGAATTCCAGTATGTTGATCTGAAAAATTTGAAGAAGTTAAGTTATCATCCATGGGTCTTGTCAAGTTATTCAGTAAATGAAACTCTGGGAAGTTTGAATAATCAATATCTTGTTGATTAGATTTACTGCTCAAAGGAATTGAAGAAACAGTATTTGCAATACTACTAGTGGTAGTAGTAGTCGTATTAGTTTCAGCAGAGACGGTCGTAGCAGTTGTTGAAGTGTTACACATGGAATCTGATGAAAAGGATTGATTATCATTTGCTAACCGTTGCACCAAGTTGACAATGATCAATTGTATGCAAGCTACAAGCAAAGAAAAGAAAAATCGGAAAAAGAACGAACTGACTGATCAATATTATGTGGATCTGGAAAAAGAGAATCCAGAACATCTTATAGTTGAGTTACAGGGCCATATGGGACAAAAAAAGGCAGCTAATAAAGCAGCCACAATATTTCAAACCATTGCAAAGTGGATTTGAAATATGAATCAACCTAGAAGCTGGTACACGAATCCATCATCTAAAGTTGCCATACAACATACAAGAAGGAAGTGGATAGAAAAAGAATGATATATGAGAAGAGAGAATAAATAAGTGAAGACAAGAATGAATGGCTATAACTTCGAAGATGATAAAGAGTCTATACTACTTCTGCACTATTGTGTCTGGTGTTTTAGCTATATCATCAATAGCCTACACAAGTGATACCAACAGTCAGAGACTTCATGGACTGATGCCATTTCTTGATCTGGTGACTCCTAGTTTTCTTCTATCACAGTCGTAATTTAGTTGACATCACGCATCGAGTTAGATAGTGGTTCGATATCCTTAATGAAAATCAGAGCTTTCAAATTGGTATTCAACATGGACTGACATCAGCTGGAGGAACATTGGAAACCTGGGAGCACTGGACAGCTGTTTCGTCCTATAATGGCACTCTTCATCAACATGCATCCACGACCCAACCAGGGATCGGACCCGCGACTTTCAGGTTCCGTGATCAGCATGTTACCATCGAGCCACTGGGAATATGGACCGCTGGATTCCGACCCATTGGCTCAATGGTAACGTGCTGAACACGAAACCTGAAGGTTACGGATTCGACCCCTGGGGGATCGTGGGTGCGCACTGATGAAGAGTCTCATCGTAGGACGAAACAGCTGCCCAGTCTTCCCAGGTTTCTAATGTTCCTCCAACTGATGTCAGTCCATGTTGAATACTAACTTGAAAAATCTCTAAATCCCCACAAACCCCCAAATACAAATCAGAGTCATCTAACTCTATGAAGGATAACAACCTTATCAACTGTCTAATCTTCTTGCATACCTATCACTAAGCTTGACACTAAGCTTACTGTTTGCTTCTACTAAATGTGAGCGGTGCTACGGAGATACATGTCATCAAACACAAATCTAACCAATGTATTTTACCTTTAACGACGTCTCACAGCTGCGCAGTAGGACACAGAGAAATGATTCTTAGCATAATCACCTTTGGTAAGTGACCGAATATCTTGCAATTCAGAAAACAAATATCCACGCTCGTGTAGTAGGTAATAAGCCACACCTATTGTGAGAGGGCTTATGATACTATCCGGTTGCCCAAACCTCGGTAGGTGGAGCGGGGTCCGAACGCGTAACCCATATTTCGAAAGTCAACTGCCTAGACCGATGAACCCACAGCTCTAATATCTTGTAACTACCTGAGACCGTGTTTGTCAGTGGATGTGAACGGCCTTTTTTTTACCCCAATTGAGATTTCCAGCCTTAAGGTTGTTGCCATTTTCCAAGTGAAGTGCTCAATATATTACATCACTTTACTTAGTATTCCTAAAGGAGAAGTCAGTGTAGACCAATCCTGAAGTATAAACTTATATTTGACGTATGCTAAACATAACTCATAAAAATCTGTTTTCTGCTCATTTGTCTAATACAACTATGTAGTCTGTTTACCGTAAGATAAACAAGCGATCTACTGGCCAGTAAGTCAGTCTTTGAAGATTTGGGAGGAATCAAAGTCACATCAACCAGGGCACCTGTAATAAATAAAACAGTCGTCTGAGACAGGGCTTCATAATCATTTACACATTCGCTTGATCGTTGATTAGCAGTATATACTTGACTGGTACTTCCTTCCTCCACTGTGAAAATATCTTTCAATTAACTAGGGTGAAGGTCATTGCGCGAATAAATATGGCAGGTGTCAGTAAGTATACGTGTTTAACAATCTGTTGAAGAGTGAAGATCGGATCTATGCTACTTTGCCCACAACTGAAACTTGTCCGACATTCTTGAGTTCGCTGTTCTCCAGCTCCAGTTACACATTGAGTTACTGTGGACTTCCTTCAAGCTGATTCCCGGCGGTTGTCTCTTCTTTTTATAAACTGGAATGATCAGATATGAAAATCAGTTTTACAGGACTATCCCTAAATCCCAGTACTTTAGTTGTTAGTGCTCAAGTTATTCCAACCAACAATTATTGACCATCACACTATTGCATCCGGATGAAAATCTTTGGAAACGATAAACAAATTACCCAACTGTCAAATCTTTGTGTACACAGTTCTATTTGTTGCACATAAAAGGTGAAATTAAACTGTACCAAAATTATCAGTTATTCTGATTGTGAGCCAATGCTGTCAAATGTGAGGGTAACTAACAAATCACAGTCTCCAATGCCGAAAGCTACGCCACTAGACCTTATTACTACCTGTGCACTAATAAACTAATGTATTTCCGGCCGATAAGGAGACGCAGTCTGCATCCAACCATAAGTACTTTTTTTACCACAATATGAACACCCACCTTGTGAAGAGTTATGTCATGAAAATGAAACAGGATCAAATCATATTCACCAAGGGAGTGAGAGACTGAACACCCTCTCCTTCCGTATGCAAAGGTCGGGTTGAAGGTGCTTTACTGCAATCGCTTCCGCGAAACGCAGCAATCCAGACATTCTGTACGTTTATTATCTTAAAAGCAATCGAGGTATCAACCTGATGTCTTGTGTCTACGAGGTGTCTGGCGTTTGTACTGGTTACAATTCTTCTTCCTTTCAAGTACAGATTCTTGGGAACATGCACAGAGGACCAAATGGATTCCCTCCTCTCAATCCTTCCAATGTACTTGCTACTGCAAGTGGATGTGAATTGATATAAAACTATAATGTGCTTTCAATTTATGCCAGGTAGTAACTGTCGGTTTGCAGAGTTCTGAGTATTTTCACCAATACACAAAACAAAACTTCTTCACACAGATATTAGTGAACAAAATGAAGTCGAATAACAGGGTTTAACAGTGACTAGTAGAAACAGACATCAACTAAGCAGAATGCACACCAGCGTGTAAACAACAAATGGATCAAAAAATAGTAATATCAAAGTAAAGAAAAGTGTATGAGATGGGATAGAATAACAAGATGAAGTTTAATAAGAATGATTAAGACTTATGATATGACAAAGATGGTATACATCTGAACCAAAGTGATCGATTTTGTAAGATATCATCAAGAGTTTCTAAAAATTTACTCTTAAAGTCTCTAAGACTCCAGCCACGCACTCTAAACCTCCTTATACGGCTCAGACGAACAGTCAAAGATTTCATGGGGGTGTCATGCCTTGGCCCAATAACCCTCAGTCTTTGTCCAAAGCAATCCTACTTTGGCTGACACTGCATGCTGAGGTAGGCAAGGACAACACGTATCTAAGATATTTCAGTCAGTGAAGGTCCACAACTCCATCGACTGAATTGCCCAGCACTCTGTGTCTAACCTCACCATTGCCCACATGGCAATTCGACCACATGCAACAGAAATAAATGGGCAGACAACTGTCAAGACAGTAATGATAATAGCTGTACTTGAAGTTTTTTTTTAAAGTTTACTTATTGTAAACTAAAATGCAGAATTCCCGTGAGTGATGTTAATAACCAGTCGACTAGTAAAGTAGTATGATTGTGCAATTAAAAAGATTTCCGAACAAGCAAACGAACACATATATATACACACGTGAAACATATTTTGCATGGGTCGATAGAAGTGTGCAAAATTTGACCCATATGTATACACAATTGAGTAAGTAAACAAAGACACTCACATCACACAACTAAGTTTAATGTTAATGAATAGCGTAAAAATAGAAAAATAGACTTATTGATCACAAAAATTATAGTTGCAATATGAATTGATTCTTAGGTCAAGCTAACCAACCAACCATCTGATCAATCTATCATGGATGATACCATGAAAATGAACATTAATTAAAAGTTGTGATAAGCAAACTAATTGATGATCAAAAGGTTGACTATAAGATATCGATCGATGGAGGAAGTGGGAAAATATGAGACATTTTGGATCTATACTTTTCCTGTTTCTCTGTATTTGCCAAAAAAGCGAAACTTTGATGTGCTATAACTTGTGGATCTTCGTCATCGATTGGATCGAATTGACCGGCCACTATTGACATATGTGCTCCTGTGAGGACGCCTTGATATTGCTGGTATTTTCAATTTTGATATTATTGATAGGTAGTGGCTAGCAGTGGAATCCTTTTCGGGACATGTCATGAATAATATCAAGTTTGAAAAATGACGGCAATATAGAGGCATCCGCACAAGAGCCCATATACTAATAGTGGTCGATCGATTCGGTCCAACTGACGATGGAGATGCACAAGCTATATCAAAGAAGACTATGCGTCGTACAAGGAGTGACTATCGTGACTAAGTGGCCGAGTGGATAACGCTTCGGAGTTTGAAGCGATTGGTCCTGGATTTGACACAGTGGGGACAACACTCACTGGGAGGCAGGTACATCCAGCTGAAGATTTGTAAATACGATGAAACATGTGTCGCTGATTCTTCTGCTAGGCACTACCCACCGATAATATTAAAAGCGAAACTCACTACTGATAAAATAAATACATCAAAATGTAACTCATTGGAGTATGGGTATTTATGTACTGGACTACAAGTCTCACTTGTTGTGCTAGGGGTCATGCTACTACCGAGTTACTCAGGTGGAAGTAGGAGGAGCCGTCCCTCATTGGCTTAGTGAATCCACTTTCCACCAGTGGGTCGTGGGTTCGAACCTCGCTCCCCCTACCGAAGCCTGGGTAGTCAGGCAGTATCACACAATAGGTGTGGCTCATTGGCTACTGCACGAACGTGCGAGTGGTCGCTGTTTGGATTTCGAATTTTACGAGGAAGACAGCGGTTCAAAACCAGCACTAATCACCTGAAAGTCAAGTGAATAAGTCGATAGAGACATATCTCATTATATATATATATATATATATATATATATATATATATATATACTCAAGACGGAGGAAAGTTGAACCCTTAATCACGCAGTCATTGTCAAAACTAACTATCAAACCACTGAGTCACAATACTACAATAAAAAAGGTTGGTGCGTACGAATTAGTCACCGAGTGACAGCCAATGTATTTGTCACATTCTCAGTGTTGATCAAAGTTTATAATGTGGCGACTAAAAGCTACAGTAGATCCTGTCTTCATAACTGAGTGATGCTCACTTGAATATCTGACGGAATGCGTTCAGTATCTAAAAACTTCCAGGTAAGTCTTGTTGATAAGTTCCAACAAACACGTAATCGATGTCGACCATTTTTTCACCAGTTAACTTTCAGTATCCTTACATACCATAAGTGACTTGTCAGTGAACTACAAAAAGTATGGTAATCCCCCAACAACATATTACACGAACATCAATCCACATAGATAACTGCGGATGAAGACTCGACGGCGAAAACGTGAAATTCTTGTAGCGAAAAATGAAAAAAGAATGTCACGGAAGCTATAGAAGAGAGGCATTCGGATCGGTCAGCAATCGATTGGTATATTGGTAGTGAACCAATCTGTTGGCCAACATGAAACAGGAGAAATTATAAGGTCACAGATCAGGTCAACAAGACAACCGATCCATAAACATGACAACAATATAACAGAAACAACCGATCACAATCAAAATCATGAGGGAATGGTACTAGGCCACCTGAGTAGAAATTTTCACAAATAACATCCTTCTGAAATTTACGTTCATGTTATTTCGAATGACAATGAAAGCAAAACCATCAAACGACTAAATTAGAGAACACAAAACCATCGAAACAAGTAGAAAATTCTTTACAACCATATATCCGCAGAGAAATAAGACTGCAAAGTACTTCAAATTAAGTCACATGCATAAAAACATCACATGGTCAACGAGTTTACCAGTTACCAGCCCCTCCTAAGCCCAGATAAAGAGGAAACGTTCAGCATAGGGAGAGCAACCCTACACCGTAAAACTAATCCAATCGCTAAACAAACTTCAAAGCACAAAGAAAATCAAAACAAACTGATTCCTCGCTGGAATCAGGGAGACGAAATGACATCAGTTGACGGAAGCCTTCGAGTAGCCAATTACCCGATATATCATCTCTTCTCTCGATGAAAACAAAAGTGAACATAGTGACATGGAATGTCCGCACAATGTTTGAAGCTAGCTGGTTGGCTGGTTGGTTGGTTGGTTGGCTGGCTGGCTGGTAAGGCTGCCCAGATTGCAAAAGAGATGAGAAGGTATAGCATAGAAGTACCAGGCTGGGAATCTGAGAAAGCAGATGGAATGCAAGTGGACTCTCCAAACTGTCAACTGGAGAGTCAATAATCCACTCCGATATTCTCACACAGACAACAACCAACAGTACACTGAGTTTCCGAGTGGCTATCATCATGTCCCCCGCAGCATCGATGGATCTCTCTTATGCAGGCTCTCATGGGAACCAATCTCCTCCTGCAGCACCAGGATCATGACACAAAAGATTCAACTCAAAAGAAAGGAAAGTCACAACCATATAATGCTACACTACACTACACTACACTACACTACACTACGCACCCACAAATAATCCAGATAAAAAGAAGAAGAAGAAGAAGGAATTCTACAGACAACTGAAATCAGTACTGGACAATACCCCCAACCTAGTTGACGACATCAAAATTCATTCCAATGTGTTGGGTGGGTGACATGAATGCCAAACTGGGAGCAGACAACACAGGAAGAGAACTGATCATGGGTCGAGAAGCACTCAGTGAAATGATGAATGAGAATGGAGAACGGTTTGCAGACTTCTGCACATTCAACGATTTGGTGATTGCAGTCAGGCACTATGTACGAACACAAGGATATTCACAAGGCAGCAACATGGATTTCATTTCACCAGACACCAGGACACACTACACTTAACATCAAATCGACTTCATCTCAATGTGAAGAAAGGGGAGATGGAGACACAGCCTACTCGACATAAGATCAGATCAAGAAGAGGAGTAGATGTAGCTTCACACCACTCACTTCACTATCTAGTGCAAGGAACCTACCTACCTTCAAAATCAAGTTGAAAGCCTTCACAGAACTTGGTGATGATCGACCACAGTTCAAGTTCAACACCTAGAAACTTAAGGACGAAACTACAAAGCACATCTTCACGTTGTCAGCCATCAGGAAGAAATGGGAGACACTAAACAACATCCCTAAAGAAACATGTGTGGAAGAACACTGGAACTCTTTGAAAGCTATGTGGGGAGAAACCTGCATAACCGTAACAAGACAAGGAATGGATCTCAACGGATCCCATATGGAAGCTGAAAGAGAAGAGAGAGGAAGATGGTGAAACAGAACAGGCTGCTGGTAGGAGAGACAGAGACCTGACAACATTATATCAAATAACTATTTGAGAGGGAAGAGACCAACACAGATGAAACCAATGAAAGATAGTGAAGGGAGCTTGCTTACCAAAGAGGAGAAGCAAAGGAAGCAATGGGCTGACCACTTCAAAAAACTCTTGAATCGACCAACACCACCTGCAACTCGTCCAGAAATACCACCAGCAGCCCAATCACACAACTACCAGTGAACACAAGCCCAGAAGTGAAGTCTTGAACACCATAAAGTTGCTGGAAGCCGGGAAAACAGCAGGACCAGATGGAATTACTCCAGAAGCACTGAAAACAGATGCAGAGACAACAGCAGCGGACATGCTCACACCACTATTGCACAAGGTTTAGAAGGAAGGAAAGATACCTGCCAACTGATTGGAAGAAGGGCTACCTTGTCAAACTCCCAGATAAACCCGACATAAGTCTTTACAAGAAGTGGCGTGGAATCATGCTCCACCTATGTCCACTCAAAGCAAGCAAAGTATTAAGCCGCATCATCCTGGAGAGACTAAAGGATGCGTTGGATTCGAAATTACCACCGGAACACGCTGGCCGACTTCTGGAAGAACAAATCATGTGTGGATCAAATTGCAACGCTACCTTACGCTACGCATCATCATAGAACAGAGCATACAATGGCAGTCAACTAGATCTTTACCTCAACTTCATCGACTTTGAAAAGACCTTCGACAGTGTCGACCGAGAGGGAATTTGGCAGGCAGCTGCTCCAACACTATGATTTTAGTGTCACAAACCTTTATCAACCTCATTCAACAGCTACATGCTATATGAAGAGGCCACATGCCAAGTGATTCACAATGGAAGAAGGCTCAGTGACGCCTTTGAAGTGAAGACAGACAGGAGCAAGACAAGGCTACCGCCTACTACCACCGATGATTTCCTGGTCATGGTGGACTGGATCATGCGACAGACAACTGTGAGGAGCGAGAGGATGGGCATACGATGGCTGGACCGATGAAAAGGCCCCAGGAGAAGATTTGCATTTCGCCGCCGATGATGATTTATGTCTAATGTCTTGTCTCACAAGCTCGAAGGTCTACACGCGAAAACTAACAAGTTGGCAGAAGAGCCGAGGCAGCGAAGACACCACTTCATTCAGGTGATGAAGATACCCAACTAACACCACCAACAAAAACAACAAGCACCAATCACCATGAACGTGAAAAGCCTAAAGGAAGTAGTCTCTTTCATCTACCTACATAGGCAGCATCGTCACAACTACAAGCGGCGACATAGGCACAGATGAGGACGTCAAAGCCACGATCGGAAAGACAGCAAGACAGGCTTTCATTAATCTGAAATAAGTATAGGGAGCTTTCAATTACCAAGGTATTTCTCATGTCAGAAAACAGGGATTTTTCACCGAAACTGGAACCTCAAGCCGTGGATGCATGTTATATTTCTGAGACACGCATACACGATTTGAGTGTTGGCGAGCTACGAAAAGCATTTCCAACAAACTACAGACATTCACCACGTCAACAGCTGCCGCCTACGCTCACTCGATACTGAAGATGGAGATCAGATGGCGAGAATAACAAGAATAAGCAACAAGGGAGTCTGGCTCTCTGTCTATCTGTCTGGCAAGGAACCAACCAAGAACCTAACGCCCAACAAATATGCAGAAAAAAGTGGAGGTGGATTGGGCATACACTGAGAAGACCATTCGAAGACATCGCGTGCCATGTTAGGGCCTCGTGTGGAACCCAAAGGGGAAAACGACGAGTTGGGCGTTCCAGCTGAGCGTGACATGGAGGAGATCATATGAGGAAGAAATGAAAGCTTCTGGGGAGTCGTGGAGCCAGGTTGAAAAGACTGCAGAGAAGAGAGTGTAATGGAGACGTGCTACTGAAGCCCTATGTTCCACTAGGAACCTAAGGGATAAATGAAATAATAAAAATAATATACATGCTAAAATGTCGTCATACCTGATTTGAGTAGATCTAAATGAACATCATAGGATAGTTGACAGATATATGGAAGTTTTGATGACCAGATAACCAAATCGACTAAAGGTAAATGATCAGTCGTACACTATATAAGTTAAAAAAAGGGAAATCATTTGATAGAAATGTGAATTTCTTCGAATAATTACGATAACTTTAGAATTTTGAATGAATTCATTGGAAACACTATGATTCAGTTTAAGGGAAATAACTTGCGAAACTTACTGAATATTGTTAGTTCTTACAAATTCATTGAATCGAACAGCACACAGACGGCTATTGACTAGTATTCCAGCAGTGCGATTACTGTGCTAGAACCTAGTGGTGTACATCCATCAGCGAGTCGACGACAGCTAATCGCTGAATTTTCGGACACTCGTAAAGCGAATTCTGAAAATTCACCACACTGGCCAAGTGACATCAGTCAAGTTAAATACCACGCTCGTGTGGTGTATGCGTATCTCAGAAATACAACACACACCCATGGCTCGAGACTCCAGTTTTGGCAAGACATGCCGGGTGTCCGATTTGATAAAGATCTTGGACGTTAAAAAATCCAATGTGAAATCGAAAGTGAGCGCCTAGGAGACTTAGAATGGTGTTTCGCTGGCTTGGATCGTTGACAACAATCACAGGGGGGAAGGACAGGGAAGTTGTAGGATGTTTAATATTGGTATCAGGTAGTAAAGGCATGGAAGGTAGGTTATCGTTGATTGAATTTCTGATAATACTGAAAGTGCACGGGTGGTTGGTACCTCCTGGTTGCTGAAACTGTGGGGGTTGTTTCTGTAGGATACCTGTAAGAAAAACGGTAGAGATTTCTGTGGATGCAGAGCTCAAGGGATATCTGCTTGAGGCCGGTCGCATACAGCCTCTTCAGGATTGTTAGTTTGAGATTTGACTTTTCTAACACCAGCACCTGAATACTGAAGGGCGGGGAGGGGTACGCTGTTTTGGGGACTAGCAATTTCCAACCGGTCCCGATCGCTTCTTACAAGAAAAGCCGCATCGGTATGGTACTGAAGGTCATTTCTGTAAAACACCTCGATGCTGTAACACACCTGCCAAGCCAGCAAAACGACGTCACCCTCTGAAGCTCCATCCCAGAATAGTTGCTCACACAGTAACGATGACGGCTTTTCCTCTTACCACCAAGGAACAAGTGTTTAACCAACACAACTCGCTGGGTCATCGTGATATGCAAGCCAGACCACCACGTCGTGGTAGCAGAGATCCGTCCTCAGTCCTCTGAACGACTTGAGCAGAAACCTGAGTATTTTGTAATGGGATTCGTTATGCACCTGCGAAATGTAAGACGATGCTTCAGGAATGGTTTGGAGCCAGTCCAATTTTTATTCCGACCAAGAGATGCTACCTTGAGGTGGTGATCACCCTTGCATATCACAGTGAACAAACGAGCCAAGTTGGTTGGACATTTGTTACCACGTGGTTCTATCATACCAGAAAGGTCTGTTTAATAATGGTAACACAACACGCAGTCACCATTATAGTGCAAGCAAATACACTATGAAAGGGGTCCGGAGTCGAGGTTGTACTTCCGAGTGGACGTGTGATAGCAGTAGGTTGAATCCCATAGATTGCAAGCAGAAGAAGGACAGAATCGAACTGGAACCTCGCACACATGAGAATCGTTTCAAGATGCCATAACTCCACAGTGGCACACAAAGAAAAGATGGATAGGAAGAGTGACATCAAAGTAGAAAAAGCTGTGTGAGAGAATAAACGATCTGAAGACAAAGGTTAGTGAGAATATTCAAGCTTTAGAATACAGTGAATACATCTACGCCATTGTCACAGATTTTCAGCCATGTCACCAACAGTTCTCATCCAGTGATTCATATTCTCTCGGGGAGCTCAACCAGGTAGTCTACATCTCCACAAACGGCTCAGACCAACAGTCAGGGGTTTTATCGTCACCAAACAGCCAGTTCGAACTGATGCCAAGTAAGTGAAGTGGTTGAAACATCCACTCTCTACCATTAACCTACGAATACTTGCAGCAGACCAGTCTTGAAGAATCATCTTACATTTGACAGGTGTCAGGAAAACGCATGCCAGCCAGACACTCAGATTTCTGATCAACACGTTCAAAGGACTGCATTTTGTTAGTGTCTTCACCCAGCAAGTCAATTTGATGATCTCCAGGAAGAAGGTCAGTCTCTATAAACTAGTCAGACATACATAAGGTTATAACGAGGTTAAATAGGAACGGTGACAGTGGATATCCCTGTCGGACACCATCAGATGTCGTCAATTCTGATAAAAGCTTTCTGTAAGTCAATACACAGCTGTGAGTTCGAGAAGAGAGCTTCGATCGGTATTATATAATTGTTCGGTAATCTCTTCACAGTAAGACACTGCTAAAACACCTCATGGTCAAGAGTCAAATGCCACCTTTAGGTCAGGAAATATGGCAAGTGTCGGCCACTGGTAACTATCACTATATTCCAGAACCTATCGGAGGGTGAAAATATGTTCAGTGCATTCTTGTTCAGGTCTGAAACCTGCTTGGTTTTCTCGAGTTTGCAGTTCCTGGGCTCCAGTTAGACATCGCATAACTATGGACCCTAGGATCTTGGACACAATATTAGTCAAACTGCTACCCCAACAGTAATCACAAGAAAATTTCTCCCCATTCTTATCGAGTTGGGGGATCAATGAAGTATACCAATCTGACGGGACTATCTTTGATTCGCATATACCGCTTAGTACCTTCGTCACTCTTTCAGAAATTTTTTACCTCCATCCTTGAAAACGTCGAGTGCAAGCTATCAGGTCCTACTGTTGCTTTGCAGTGTTCCAGGCTCGACACAACTTCCTCAACTTCAAAGAGAGTTGGAGAACCGACATCCAAGTCCCATTCACGTTTAGGCTAGGTGAAGAGAGGTTGAGGCATTGCTGTGTGTCAGTTGAACTGTACATTAGTGTTTTTACCGACATTCTAGCCCTTTTTCGCGAAAAGTTATCAGCATTCAGTCTTTCTCGATGATAGTTTCGCTGACCATCGTTTTCTTCTTCCCGGTATGATTAACAAGCCTAAATAGTTGCCGAGTGTTACCCAACGCTGATGCCTTCATTTCTCTCGTTTTCGTCTTCCACCACTGCTTGCGATCGACGCGAAGACTCTTGGTCGACTTACGTTTGAGTTGCCTTCGCTTTTCATAGTGGTCAGAGCCAGCTGGAATTAGTCTTCTCGCATCAACCACTTCCGAAGATATTGTGGAGTTCCAACGACGTTTGCTAACCTTCCGACGTTACCGACTGTCCTTACCGTTGTTTCTACAGTAGAGGTAATATCACGTCACGCCAGGTTTCATAAGCATGAAAATTGCTGTCATGTTCAGATAAGTGTTTCGCTATCTCTTTCCCTAAATGCAGAACTGACGTTTTTGCTCTCCAATCGACCATAGACAAGTTTTACTATCGCTTGTTTGCTGCGGCCAATAAGGTGAAGATATACCGGAGCCCATAACAGCGCGTGATCAGAGTCCAAACTGATACTCCAGAAACAGGGGCAATCCTACAGTGATCTTCTCCAACGATGGCTGGCTTATAGAGATGAGATCTATCTGTGTTCATCATTGGTTTTAAGTCGGTGATCGTACTGTGAGACAGTGTCTCTCCTTCGCCCTAAAGCTAGAGCTAGCCAGAAACAGGTGATTGTTGAAACAAAACTGCAACAGATAATCACCGTTGTCGGTTAGTCATCATGGGATTTCGTAAATACCCCCGAGATACCTTTCCGATTGACTCAGTTCAGCTGCCAAACTTCCACGTTAGTCATCTGCCTTCATGATTGCATTTGGACGTTTTGCTTTCTGTAGCAATGTTCAAGGTGGGGCAGATGGAGTGCGTTATTTTTGGGGCAGAATTTGTCTAGGAGCGCCCTTCCCGTAGGGAAGGCAGAATCAGCTTGGCACTGGTGGTCATCCAACAGAAAAAACCTTACCACTGCCAAACACCATCCAGCTTATTATTATTATTACTAGAACACAAGCGTGGTACAGCAAGGGCACCAAGAAATGAGCCACACAAAATAATATAACACCATTATGAAGGCATGAAGCTAAGAGAAGTGGATAAAAATAAAACATATAAGAACAGAATGATTAGAAGGGCAGTCCAGTAAGGCTCATTCGGAAAGAAACATTCATTACTTTTAGCAGCAGAAGGTAGAACGAAGCTACAGCATGACCGCCACCGGTTTCGATTCTGAGCCATATCTGATAACGTCTCAAGCTACCAAGTTGCGTGATCTCTCGGACCTAACCCAGAGAGTCGTGATTAACCAACAGACGCTAACCCGATACAACCACCCTTCATTCAACGGTGCCACGTCATACACTGACCACCCCTCGCTTTTTCCATCCAGTCCCAGGATCAGTAAACAATGAACAGTGTGGAAGGCGTTCGGACGACATGCGTAACACATGTCCAAGTCACCAAGCCAGCTTGCAGCAGTACAACTTTGCCCTCGAACGAACCGAATAGTGTAACCATTTACACTACAATAGTAAATGCTTTTCGTTTTACCACTGTACAACGGACCTTTCTGGGATGATAGGAACCTCACAAAATAAGTCTTCCAGCCCGTGTAGCTCGTTGGATCACTATTATATGCAAGTTCGACCATAAGGTAAAGAAAGCAAGTATCGGTCGGGATGGTCCGCATGAGAGAAGACTGATAGTGAATAAACTGATGGTGCAGCGTACACGTATATTTTCTTAATCTTAACAGCCATACTCCCTTTAGAGACTTCTCATTCCCCCTTCATAACTTTTCCTACATGCGATCGATTCTTCTTTATTTGTTTATGTATATTCTCGTGCAGGCTCTCATGGAACCAATCTCCTTCTGCAGCACCAGGATCATGACACAAAAGATTCAACTCAAAAGAAAGGAAAGTCACAACCATATAATGCTACACTACACTACACTACGCACCCACAAATAATCCAGATAAAAAGAAGAAGGAATTCTACAGACAACTGAAATCAGTACTGGACAATACCCCCAACCTAGTTGACGACATCAAAATTCATTCCAATGTGTTGGGTGGGTGACATGAATGCCAAACTGGGAGCAGACAACACAGGAAGAGAACTGATCATGGGTCGAGAAGCACTCAGTGAAATGATGAATGAGAATGGAGAACGGTTTGCAGACTTCTGCACATTCAACGATTTGGTGATTGCAGTCAGGCACTATGTACGAACACAAGGATATTCACAAGGCAGCAACATGGATTTCATTTCACCAGACACCAGGACACACTAAACTTAACATCAAATCGACTTCATCTCAATGTGAAGAAAGGGGAGATGGAGACACAGCCTACTCGACATAAGATCAGATCAAGAAGAGGAGTAGATGTAGCTTCACACCACTCACTTCACTATCTAGTGCAAGGAACCTACCTACCTTCAAAATCAAGTTGAAAGCCTTCACAGAACTTGGTGATGATCGACCACAGTTCAAGTTCAACACCTAGAAACTGAAGGACGAAACTACAAAGCACATCTTCACGTTGTCAACCATCAGGAAGAAATGGGAGACACTAAACAACATCCCTAAAGAAACATGTGTGGAAGAACACTGGAACTCTTTGAAAGCTATGTGGGGAGAAACCTGCATAACCGTAACAAGACAAGGAATGGATCTCAACGGATCCCCATATGGAAGCTGAAAGAGAAGAGAGAGGAAGATGATGAAACAGAACAGGCTGCTGGTAGGAGAGACAGAGACCTGACAACATTATATCAAATAACTATTTGAGAGGGAAGAGACCAACACAGATGAAACCAATAAAAGATAGTGAAGGAGCTTGCTTACCAAAGAGGAGAAGCAAAGGAAGCAATGGGCTGACCACTTCAAAAAACTCTTGAATCGACCAACACCACCTGCAACTCGTCCAGAAATACCACCAGCAGCCCAATCACACAACTACCAGTGAACACAAGCCCAGAAGTGAAGTCTTGAACACCATAAAGTTGCTGGAAGCCGGGAAAACAGCAGGACCAGATGGAATTACTCCAGAAGCACTGAAAACAGATGCAGAGACAACAGCAGCGGACATGCTCACACCACTATTGCACAAGGTTTAGAAGGAAGGAAAGATACCTGCCAACTGATTGGAAGAAGGGCTACCTTGTCAAACTCCCAGATAAACCCGACATAAGTCTTTACAAGAAGTGGCGTGGAATCATGCTCCACCTATGTCCACTCAAAGCAAGCAAAGTATTAAGCCGCATCATCCTGGAGAGACTAAAGGATGCGTTGGATTCGAAATTACCACCGGAACACGCTGGCCGACTTCTGGAAGAACAAATCATGTGTGGATCAAATTGCAACGCTACCTTACGCTACGCATCATCATAGAACAGAGCATACAATGGCAGTCAACTAGATCTTTACCTCAACTTCATCGACTTTGAAAAGACCTTCGACAGTGTCGACCGAGAGGGAATTTGGCAGGCAGCTGCTCCAACACTATGATTTTAGTGTCACAAACCTTTATCAACCTCATTCAACAGCTACATGCTATATGAAGAGGCCACATGCCAAGTGATTCACAATGGAAGAAGGCTCAGTGACGCCTTTGAAGTGAAGACAGACAGGAGCAAGACAAGGCTGCCGCCTACTACCACCGATGATTTCCTGGTCATGGTGGACTGGATCATGCGACAGACAACTGTGAGGAGCGAGAGGATGGGCATACGATGGCTGGACCGATGAAAAGGCCCCAGGAGAAGATTTGCATTTCGCCGCCGATGATGATTTATGTCTAATGTCTTGTCTCACAAGCTCGAAGGTCTACACGCGAAAACTAACAAGTTGGCAGAAGAGCCGAGGCAGCGAAGACACCACTTCATTCAGGTGATGAAGATACCCAACTAACACCACCAACAAAAACAACAAGCACCAATCACCATGAACGTGAAAAGCCTAAAGGAAGTAGTCTCTTTCATCTACCTACATAGGCAGCATCGTCACAACTACAAGCGGCGACATAGGCACAGATGAGGACGTCAAAGCCACGATCGGAAAGACAGCAAGACAGGCTTTCATTAATCTGAAATCAGTGGGGAGATCTACTGCACTCCACTCAGCATAAAGCATGAACAAGATCCGGATTTTCAACACTAAGTCAGTCAAGTCACTGCTTCTATATGGTTCAGAAAGTTGGCGAGCTACGAAAAGCATTTCCAACAAACTACAGACATTCACCACATCAACAGCTGCCGCCTACGCTCACTCGATACTGAAGATGGAGATCAGATGGCGAGAATAACAAGAATAAGCAACAAGGGAGTCTGGCTCTCTGTCTATCTGTCTGGCAAGGAACCAACCAAGAACCTAACGCCCAACAAATATGCAGAAAAAAGTGGAGGTGGATTGGGCATACACTGAGAAGACCATTCGAAGACATCGCGTGCCATGTTAGGGCCTCGTGTGGAACCCAAAGGGGAAAACGACGAGTTGGGCGTTCCAGCTGAGCGTGACATGGAGGAGATCATATGAGGAAGAAATGAAAGCTTCTGGGGAGTCGTGGAGCCAGGTTGAAAAGACTGCAGAGAAGAGAGTGTAATGGAGACGTGCTACTGAAGCCCTATGTTCCACTAGGAACCTAGGGGATAAAGAAAAGAATAATAATGATAATAATAACAGTGTTAGATCAACTAGTAAGTAAGGCACCTGGAGACCAGACGAATCAGTAGTTGCAGTCTCTTGCAAAAACGACTGGATATGGGTTACGATTACACGGATATATTCACGTTTACAAGTTCCTCTTACCAGCATACACCTTGGTTTAGTTTGATAACAGTCAACAGCTACTTCTTCTTTACATGTTAGGATGGAGTATGGTAATTTCAACCGACATGCTTCTATGTGAGATTCTACATTGATTTTAATGCCCTATAACTGCTCAGAAATACTCTCGATTCTGTTAGGGTCTTCACCATGTGTGCACTTCAGTCAATACTTGTAAAGTCACAGGTACCTAGGGTGACGTTCGTTGGCACGTTTATAACAAAGTTAAACAGGAACAATGACACCAGACATCTCTCGCAGACACACCATATCAGCACACCAATATCAAACGGTAACAACATGAAAAACACAGAGATCCAAACAACATCAGGTTCACGGAAAACCACTTAGAAAGAGAGGAGAGATTAAGACAATTAACAAACCCTAATGTAACGGTAAACATGCAGGTCAGATGTGAATGCATCTGAGACTCTGAGATAGTTGCTGAAACAACAATTTCCTCTGTCATACGGACTCCAGTCTGAAATTCTTACATTCTCTTTATGTGGCTAAAGCTAAAGGTGAAAAACCTCATATATTAACTCCAATTCTTAAACTGGTTATCATTAGCCTTTTTTCCAGCCTAACCTTAATTCACACTAGCGTACCTCATAGAGGTATGCGGTGATCTGACGTGTGTAATACATGGGTTCGCAAGGTTTAATGGAGCATTCACTGCACTATTGGGCACATTCAGCAGTTTATAGCTACTTGGAAATCTAACAAGTGTCCTAGGATGAGAAATGCTAGTTTCGTTTAATTTGTTTACTACTCTTGTTGATATAATTAATTCTAACTAATTGCATTTTCTTCTTGACAATTTCTTCTCTTTTTATGCTGACACTATAGTACTAGAGTGGGAATCAATGAACAATGACTTATCCCAGGTTCTAACAAATAATCGAAATTTCAGAAGCCTTTCGTATATTCGTACAGTCGGCAGTAACATTCATTGTATGGGGGTAACGATACTATCGGGCCTCCCAAACAACGCTGGGTGGAGCTGAGTTTCAACCTATGACTCATCGTTTTGAAATCAAGTGTCTAAACCAATCAGCCACAGTCCCGCTATTCGAGATCCAAGGTTGACCACTGCTGCTGCGACTACTGCTTTGCTTTGAGGTGATCAGTGTCGCCGATTTTTTTCCCTGGCTCTTTACATTTGGATATCATGTAATTCGTGATAGGTAACAATTAGCACCTGTTGCATAGGAGGTAACTGCTGGGATTTATTGGTTTATGTGAGCATAACACTGTTGTACACCGGGCTAGCGTATAAATGAGAACAAGAATATACTCATTGGAATGCAAGTGTATGCAGACGGTGGGTAAGGGATACAGTGAAACACTCATGCTGAATTTCCACCGTTAATCACCATCAAATTGAAACATACGTTAAAGGAATTAGTGGCATGAGAGATTCTCTGATAACACTGCGTTACAACTCTTTACAGAGATCTAGAAGACAATTTTCACAATCACAAATAACCAGTGTTTAGACGTAGGAAGGGGGGAGGTATAGACAAGAATAAGACACTCACCTTTTTAAGGAGGGTTTCAAACTGTTTCAAATCATCATTATCTTGAGAAACAGTAGCAGTCTCTGTATGACTTTCATTGCTGAAAGATTTTTGGAATGCCCTGTGTCTAAGTGAAAAGTGGACTCCGCAGTCCTGATAAATTCTAAAGCATCCGGTGGTGTAATAGGCACTGGCAATTTCGTAAATGTGTCGATATTCGCATAGGTTATTCCACCACCACCAGTGGAACAGTCAACCAGAGAAGATTCTTTGGATACACATGAATCATTGGTGATCAAATTGAAAGCACTTATCGATGATTGTGTAGATTTCTCTGTTGATTTAGAACAAAAGTCTCCTGAGAAATTAGAAAATGAATGAGGACTACATGAACTAAGGTTAGTTCTGAAAAATAATTCTTGTTTATCTTCACACACGCATACTCTTGAGTATCGGTAAATGTTGTATCAGCTACTACTGTGCTACTACCACCACTATGACTCCAGAGTTCACAACTGTAATCAGGTGGAGTGGGGAACTTTGAACTCCAGACTGAAGTTGTTGTTGTTGACGTTCTTCTTGAACAGCTAAAATTAATGTCAATGAAATAACTTGGAATAAAAGCAAAGTATATTAAAAGTTAATGAACTATTATTACTATTGTTTACTGGTCCTCTAATACAACTACCTGATTTAGGCGGACAAACCATGAAATATCTATAGCGAAGATACTAAAGAGTCCACCTAACTTTTTTGCAACTAAGCATATCTACTATAGTGCCAACATTGTATCTAGTCATTCAATCCACATTCTATCGTACGAAATTTTTTTCATTTACATACGAGCTGCATTGTTTCGTTGTTATCATTTCGAAAGTTATGTTGATGTGTGTGTTCTTGTTTCATTCAGCTGTTCGTGACTGTTTGACATTCTGATTTTCTTGCACCATCTTGAGTCACAATGTCTGACACAGCTATCCTGAAACTATGAGCACCATTTAAGCTGACCGCTTTCAACATTCAGGGCTGACGCAGATTGGACAACACATGTTTGACTAGGATTCTGGAAAGCATCACTACTGAAACATGCTGTACCTTAGTGAACGGCATATACGACCTCAGTGAAATGCTTTAAACAACTTATGCATCTGTCACTAAAAGTGTTTCATGAGTGCGTATCCGGCATTAACAGCCAACCAGCATTATAAGTGTTTGTGTCGCTAAAGGTGCTAGAGCCAACGCTTCCCTGATCAGCTGGATCCCCATTAACACTCGTCTGTGTGCTGTTTAACTAGACAGTGACTGGCAAGAGAAACGAAATCTCTTTATTAAGTCTACTTATGCTCTAATGGATTGCAGTCTGCATGTAATTAAGGAACAGTTTTACCATCATCTGAGTCAGCTTTACAATCAAGTGCACCTGACATACATTGTACTGTTAGTTAAGGACTTGAATGTATATGTTAGATTGCTTTCTGAGTCTCAGCGCAGAACATGACCTGTTTCTAACTGGCAACAACCTCTGGCAAAACGATTGCTATTATGCCAGTTAGTGTCTTTTTTCTGTTGGTCAATCGTAGACTCAAGGAAAATCACACTACAATTAGCTACTCAAGGCATGAATGTATTCAAGACGGCTTGCCACTTAAGAAGAAAATCTTGTCTATGGACACTGAATTTCTATGAATTCCATGTAAATTTTTGGTACTCATCGGTTTGTCCCGACGGATAACGAGTACAGAATGGTGTATGTAAGTTCTCTGCAAGAATAATTACAGAAAAGTCGTGCAACAATCAGGAAGCTTGGTGATTACAAATGTAATTGACATGGAAGTGATAACTGCATCTTAAGCTGCTTTTCATGATCGAATGACTGACTCTGATGTGTCCAACGATACGTAGGTACACAACGTACTCGAAATACTACAGTGATATAAGTCTTCAAAACGCACAACCTGCCCCCAGTTCTTTTCAAAGATAGAGAAGAGACTGAAGTCAGTGCACTGACTACACCATGTGTTTACTTCTCTTCAGATACTTAAACACAGCTATACTAGCATCTGGGTGAGAAGGCTGATGGAGACGTGACGGGTAAAATTTCTGATTACATATCGAAGGTCAGAGAGGGATAAGCCAATCTGCACCAGGTCCGACGCAATCATGACGCTAGTTTGACTGTGAAATACAAGGCATGTAATGCTTCACTGAGGGTAGTTCGATACTACAACTGCGTTCACAATCACCGTCTTAGTACGATTGTTCATGTTCAGTTGAAATACCATGTAAGTAGTTCTGATGTTCAATGGTGAATGTTTGGAAGTGGATGAAATCGTCATTCAAGTACTGAGGGTTTTGGTGACTTGGGTACATGCAATACATGTCGTCCGAAAACTGCTTGACAAAAAAAGAAAGGAAATCAGTTAAATGCGGTGGCATGAAAGACACTCAGATTATACCTTACTCCATGGGCGGAATTTAAAAATTATACCAATAGTTCCTGAAGGTATGAGGTATCCTTTGGAATTGGCGACAACCACGATCGTGCTGCAGCTTCTTAGAATCTTTTCCTTTCCGTTTAAACTTGCATAACGACGCCTAAAGAGATGGAAAGAGCAGCGGCGATCGGTAATAGTAGACAGTCATTTAGACCTATTAAGGAGACTGGGGGGAAAAGGTCAACAACAGTTAGTGAGGCTATAGCGGAGAAAGACAGATCTACGATTCGCTCGCGGAGGGAACGGCTGGAACGATGGGCGGAACACTTCGAGGGACAGTTTAACTGGCCTCCAGCAACCATTACGTTGTCTGCTATCAGTCATAACCTGAACAGAACATTGAGATAGCCCCCCAAACACTTGCAGAAGTCGAGAAAGCTGTAGGTAACTTGGAACGAGGAAGGTGGTGAATCTTTATCGACTGAGATGGCTTGCTGGGACATGTGTTACGTATGCCTAGTTGCCGGTTGTCTTGTCACACAATGTTGGCCGAAGTAGGTCCAGGCTGGAAAAAGGCTAGAGGCGGCCAGATTAAAACATGGCACCAATGTATGAAGTCTTTGACTGTTGGTTTAAGCCACGTATGGCGATGCAGACTAGCCGGTTGGGGTCCGTAGGACAAGAGGAACCGGAGGCTGGAGACTCTAGGTGATATGGCTCAGAACCGATGTCAGTGGCTCAGATGTACACACACATTATCTTCACCTTAACAACGCTATACTGAATCTCACCATTTGTTCATTCTCCATTCCTCTCTTTTAGTACTTTACATCTCCTTTGACTGAATTTTTTTTATCTTCCACCTCACTGCTCTTTTACCTGATGTACTGTTATGAGCTGTGGCAACTCGGACCGTTACGCAGTAACGCCCGGTCCTATGTTGACTTGGATGAATGGATTTCATAAAGTAATATTATACTATATTTCGTGGTGCATTAATTGGTGCCAACGTCTTACGAATTTTCTGTTATAAATCAACGAATTAGGATGCATCAGAACCACTGAGACTGACGGTAAGCCACATCATTTAGAATCTCTAGTCATCAGTTTTGGTTGTTGCCTAACGACCCCGTCAGTCAAGTAGCCTACATTTCTGTACATGGGTAAGACCAACAGTTAGGGAATTTATAGGTTTATACCATGTTCCAGTGCATCGTAACTAAATCCGGTTTAAGGCTTTATTTACTACGCTATGAACAACACTTAATGTGTGAGGGGGCAGTGGTACTACCCTATTGTCTAGATCGAAATACATGAAGAGGGATCTCAACTCAGAATCTATCACTTGAAAGTTGATTGCTTAAGCCAATAAACCAAAATACCAGTCAGCGTCCACCGTTAATTTCTTAATATTCACCAAACAAATCAACTATTAGTTTTTCACTGACTGAGAGACTGGCTGAACAAAGAACCCCCTTGTAGGGCTTCCCGTGGACTATCTGTTAACATCTAACACCTAATAGTTAGCAGTTTAGTCTTGTCACATAACTCTTTTACAATAGTCAACTGCTTTGACTGTAGACCTCAATTATAGTAGTTGACAACGAATAGACCGGTATAAGATGTATCTCAGGAAGCGAGTGCAAATAGAAGACAACCAAATAATCCGATTAGTAAAGATGAAATGAAATAAAAGTCAACAAACACGTCCAGTAAGCAATGACCACCATCAATTGTGAGGGTCAATGATACTAACTGGTTTCCTAGACCTCGATAAGTGGGGGAGTGTTGGAATCTGGACTGAGGAAGACAACGGAAAATAAATGCTCTGTACTTCAGTATATATACATATATATCCAGAATAATGATCAGCTGATACAAATGCATAGTGATGAACTCACCTTCTCGTCGCATTCCAACTCGTAGGCATTTCTGGTAACGACAATACTGACAACGATTACGCAGACGTTTATCAATTTGGCATTCTTGATTATCTCGGCAAATATATATGAGTTCTTTACGTACAGTACGTTTAAAGAATCCCTTACATCCTTCACACGAGAAAACACCTAAAGGCGTTAAACAAGAGATTTTCAATAGTTCAAACAGTTTACAGAAAACGTATACATAGCATTGCATTCATCCACTCAGATGAAGATTCATCGATTTTAGATTCACCATTAGATCACCGTTGATCAATTCTTCACTAGTGTTTGATAAGCTGAGTTACCTGACATGATGGTCTGACAACAAATATTTTTTATGTCCAACCGATGAGTCCCAAAGAGGACGAAGCATACATTTTGAACTGCACTGTTAAGTATTGGCAAATAAATAATCAAAGTAGAAGACATCAAAATGGATCGTACAAGTAGTAAAGAGATATGATGAAGTGGAACAAATTACTGGCGTTCTTAATTAGAGGATAGGATTTGGGCAACAAAGTGGAAATCCGACTGATGCATTCAGCTGTATTTTAATATCGACAACAATATATCCACATCACGCATAGAAGGATAAGAACAACCAACTTTTTGGGTTAGATTATTCTAGATATCGCTGACAATCTTCTACTCTATTACTAATAGCAACAAGTTATAAAAAGAGGGCAAAGTCAAGTTTACCATAACTTCGCAACCACTTGAAAGTTCGTACATTAAGCAATGAAACACCAATTGTAGGGCGGTTAACAGAACTACTTGAAGAGGTGGCCCATCAGCTTAAGCACTCGATCAACTTTCAGGTAATGGGTCTGTGGTTCAAACTTCACTTCATCTACCTCTACCAGGGCAACGGAATAGTACCAAATGTTAACCGTTACAATAACATGTAATCCATAGTTTATTACGTGATTGAGTTGCATTTTTCAGTACTTACTATTTGGCTCTTCAAACCTCAATAATTGGAGTAGGATTAGAACCCGGTAGCTCACTGGTTAAAAGCAGAACTGTCTATAAAAACCAATGAGTCACAGCTCCTGTGAAACTAACTATATGTTTACCTGGATAATATAGAATGAACAGAATGGAAAAATCGAAATCCACCCAGCTATTTTGTACGGTAGGTAATGAGCCACACCACTTTGTGAGAGCTAGTGATACTACCTGGCTGCCTAAACCTCCGTAGGTGGAACGGTGTTCAAACCCGTGATCCAACGGTTGAAAGTCCACCCCCTAAACCAATGAGTCAAAACTCCAGATGAATATGAATATGAAACAAGAAACAAGGAGGGGTTCAAAAAGAACAGAAAGAGTGAACCATGCATAAACTAACCATAGTGTTTACCACTAGCACGATCTGAGCATATTGAACAAATATACTGTCCAGTATTGGTATTAGTAGTGGTAGTAGTAGAAGACGAAGAAGAAGCACTCTTCGAACTACTACAACTACTTCCACTGCTTGTACTAGTCGAACGTCCTGACGGTCTCAGTATACACACAGACGATGGTAGTGGTGATGTACAGCTGAGTGACAATGCAGGAGATATTAGTGAATTTGATTTATCCTCATCTGGTGGCTGATTTGATGAATCATTCAGATCAGTATGAAAACTGCCAGTCAGTTGGGTTAAATTACTCTTAGTCAAAGATGGAGTGATAGCCGATTGCATCTGACGTAATTCTGATGATTGTACGCTAGAAGTCTGAGTCGTCTGTAAATTAACACTGTCAATAACAGTGGGCTTTGAAGAGTCCATTCTGAAAACAATGTTACTATTGGATAATCCTTGTTGGTTTGTTAGTATATTGTGTGAATTCGATATACACAAAACTGGTGGGACAACACTTTTGTTTTCTGCTGATAGTTGAGAGACAACAGGATATTTAGATCGTTGAACACCTGTTTCCGTAAACTCATAGAATTTTGACCAACGGATTGAAAGGGGGAAGAATGCTGCAGAAGGAGAATAGAGAAAGACAGGTAAATATGAGTTTAGAATTTATTACTAGGCGAATATACATGCTCAGAATTACGGGAGTCTAAATCTTACAAAGATTATCTGTTTGTATAAAATGGGAGACAAACATGGAACATGAACATATCAACTTACTATGTATAATTATCCAGTAAACAGTGTATGTGTTCAGACTTCGTTAGCAAAGACTCTGGCAACTCGGGCCATGGATGTGTGCTGTGTTTGTGAGACACGCATACAGGACCCAAGTGTGGTTATTCACCTGACCTCTCCTGACCAATCTGGTGAATCCACAAAATTCACCCTTCGAGTTTCTGGAGATTCGATAGCTAGCTCTCGTGGTCTTGCAGGTGTAGGTATAGCATTAAGCACCAGGGCAGAAAACTCACTACTAGACTGGATCCCAGTTGATAGTCGCCTCTGCGCTATGAGGCTGAACGGCACAGTGAGAACTAAAAGGAATAGTGAGACTCGCCGTTGTCTCTTTGTAATCTCTGCTTACGCACCCACTGACTGCAGCTCGGATGAAGTGAAGGACGAGTTCTACCATAAACTGTCTAACCTCCTCTCGAAAGCCAAACGTTCGGACGTAGTGGTTGTTGCAGGTGACCTCAACGCACAGGTGGGTAGACTGAGTGAGGCAGAAAGGCACTTAGGTGGCACTTTCGGAATCCCAGCTGAACGTACAGATAACGGTGATCGCCTATTACAACTATGCTCAGATAACCGCCTATTTTTAGCCAGCACAAATTTCAGACATAAAGAAAGGCACTGTCTGACCTGGCGTCCACCGAGCTCGACTCAGCGATGGACCACATTGCTATTAGTCATCGCTGGAGAGGATCGGTGGAAGACTGCCGCTCCTTCTGGAGTACGTGTTTGGACAGCGATCATGCGTTGGTCCGAGCACGTATATGCCTGCGTCTCAATGGACGTAGAAAAAATTTGGCAACAAAACCACTACGAGTGCTGCTGGACAACGGAAACACCAAAGCCGTGTTCAGTGAGAAGTTGGCTAGGCAGTTATCGGAACAAAAGACTGTCACTCATCCAGAAGAAGCTTGGTGCCATCTTCAGTCTGCTGTAAAAGCAGCACTGAAGACTGTAGCCGACTCCAAAATAATGGCTAAAAAGAGCCAGTGGATATCAGCAGCTTCTTCCAAACTAATGGATGCACGTGAATGCATCCCTGCAGGCTCTGAGTACAATGAAGAGCGAGCGCAACTTAAAAATAGACTGACGAAAAGTCTGCGCAACGATCGTGAACAGTGGTGGGCAGCAAAGGCTAAAGAGATGGAAAAGGCAGCGGCGATCGGTAACAGTAGACAGTTATTTAGACTTATTAAGGAGACTGGGGGGAAATGGTCAACAACAGTTAGTGAGGCTATAGCGGAGAAAGACAGATCTACGATTCACTCGCGGAGGGAACGGCTGGAACGATGGGCAGAACACTTCGAGGGACAGTTTAACTGGCCTCCAGCCACCATTACGTTGTCTGCTATCAGTCATAACCTGAACAGAACATTGAGATAGCCCCCCAAACACTTGCAGAAGTCGAGAAAGCGGTAGGTAACTTGGAACGAGGAAGGGCAGCAGGACCAGAAGACTAACTTCAGAGGTATACAAGAATGGTGGTAAGATGCTCAGGTTAACGGAAGTGTTAACTAGTATGTGGGAATCAAATACGATCCCCTCCGACTGGTCTAAGTCACTGATCATCCCAGTCTTCAAGAAAGGCGAGAAGTCCTCTTGTGATAACCACAGAGGAATCAGCCTGACAAACATAGTGTCTAAGATCCTAAGTTCTATAATTCTCCGACGCCTGAGTGGAGCTCGGGAACAGCAAGCCCGAGAAAACCAGGCAGGCTTTAGACCTGGCCGTGGATGTATCGACCAAATATTCACACTGCGCCAGGTCCTGGAACATAGGCATGCTTACAGACGCCCGACAATAGCTGTATTTCTCGACCTGAAGGCGGCATTTGACTCCGTTGATCGAGAAGTCTTATGGCAATGTCTGTCACTGAAAGGCGTGCCTAGTAAGTACATCACCTTATTGAAAGCTCTCTACTCGAACACTTGTGGGCATGTTAGAGCCTATGGTGAGTTGTCCAGGGAGCTATACTCATCAAGTGGTGTCCGTCAAGGATGCCCACTATCCCCATTCTTATTTAATTTTATCATAGATATTCTTATGGAGGTTTCCCTCTCGTCACCTAATTACACAGACGTTGACCTAATCACAGGTGAATTTTCCTTAGATCTAGAATATGCAGATGACATAGTCCTGTTAGGTGAAGACGCTGACAAGATGCAGAGTCTTCTGAACACTTTGAGTGGGAATTTGAGAATGTTTGGGATGCGGTTCTCACCACCCGAATGCTAATTGTTGCTCCAGAATTAGTCTTCAACGGTGCCTCGTCTGACAATAAGGAGTGTAGTGGTTGAGTGTGTCGACCATTTCACTTGCCTGGGAAGTAGGATCAACCCTGGTGGCTCACTGGCCGACGAAATTTCTGCATGAATACAAAAGGCTTGGCTGGCTTTTGCCAAACTTTAGCCACATGTGGCACCTCTGTGATATCCGATTGTCCATCAAGGGTCGCGTGTACTGCACAGCAGTCTGATCTGTTCTACTCTATGGCTGTGAAACATGGCCATTGAAGGTGGAAGAAATGAGAAGGCTTCAAGTGTTTGACCACCCTTGCCTTCGTAGTATAGGACGTATTCCGTGGTGTCACCACGTGAATAACGCAGAAGTCAGGTGTAGAGTTTTAGGGAGAAGAGGTAAATCTGTTGACACGGTGGTGAACCTTTATCGACTGAGATGGCCTGCTGGGACATGTGTTACGTATGCCTAGTTGCCGGTTGTCTTGTCACACAATGTTGGCCGAAGTAGGTCCAGGCTGGAAAAAGGCTAGAGGCGGCCAGATTAAAACATGGCACCAATGTATGAAGTCTTTGACTGTTGGTTTAAGCCACGTATGGCGATGCAGACTAGCCGGTTGGGGTCCGTAGGACAAGAGGAACCGGAGGCTGGAGACTCTAGGTGATATGGCTCAGAACCGATGTCAGTGGCTCAGATGTACACACACATTATCTTCACCTTAACAACGCTATACTGAATCTCACCATTTGTTCATTCTCCATTCCTCTCTTTTAGTACTTTACATCTCCTTTGACTGAATTTTTTTTATCTTCCACCTCACTGCTCTTTTACCTGATGTACTGTTATGAGCTGTGGCAACTCGGACCGTTACGCAGTAACGCTTGGCCATATGTTGATATTGATTGATTGATTGAGGGGCAAAGCATTTGAAACCTGTAATTGTGTTAAAGAGACAACAGCTGCTTAACATAATCTATGCCGGCACCAAGTTTCACTAGGATGCGACTTAGGAGGTCTGAATAGAAGAAATGAGTGTGCTCGATTTCATTGATGGTCAGTACTACACAAATAGCATGAAACGGACGAACGAGAAGTGTTACATTACAACTGGTTAACCAAGCAAAAATCAGCATGACTTGACAGAATCGTCAAGTTATATAGGCTTCCTAAGGATACCGTAAAAAAGAAAACAGTGGTCAGGAAAAACATCTTAGAAAAGGATAGGATACAAACAACCTTTCAGGACAAAAGGTTATAACGTTGAGCAGAACACTTTGAAGCACATTTCAACTGGCATACAGCAACGCTTCAGTTGTCCAACATCTAGACTGAACCTGAATAAAAGGTAAATGTTAGTATTCAAACTCTCCTTGAAGTTGAGAAAGCTGATAGTTTGCCATACGACGTTTTTAGGGATGGAGATTACAGATTACAGTAAAGGGGAACTAGAAAGTGTATGGAAATCAGAGGTAGTGCCATCAGACTGGCCTACTTCTCTGGTTATCCCTGTCTATCAGAAGTGAGAGAAATCTTACTGTGACAACCGTAAGGGAATTAGTTTACTAACACCGAGATCAAGATCTCTGAGTACATAGATATCCCGCACCTAAGTGGGGTTCGAAAATAGACAATGGAGAAAACCAGGAAGGCTTGAGTCGCTGTGTGGGTGCATGCACCAAACATTTACACTCTGACGAATTCTGGAACACCGACCGACACTGGCACTTCTTGTCCTGAAGGGGGCATTCGACTTTGTCGATACTGAAGTGTTGTGGAAGTGTCTGATTGTGAAGAGACTACTAAGAAAGCATATGGTGCTTATCAAAGCTCTCTACTCGAACTGACGGAGCTGTGTAGCAGCATATGGAGCGTTGTCATCAGAGTTGACGACAACTAGTTCTGTCCGGCGGGGATGTCATCTGTTACCGTTCCTATTTAACCTCGTTATAGACGTACTAATCAACATAAGCCTAGTACATCTGAATTGCAGAGATTGATCTGCTCCACAGAGGGCATTTGCTTAACTCACAGTAAGCAGACGATACTGTCTAGCAAGTTGAAGTCACTGACAAAATACAGTCTTCTGAACATGTTGAGCAGAAATCTGAGTGTCTGGGTGGTATGAATTTCGTTGGCACCTGCCAAATGTAAGATGATGCTTCAATACCGGTCTGCTGCAAGTTCTACAGATTTATTGATAGGGAGTAATTTGTTGGAATGTGTCAACCACTTTACTCACTTACGGAGTGGCATCGACCAGAAATGGAGTGATTGCCAACAATATCTCAGCTCGCAAACAGAAGGTCCGTTCGGCATTTGCCGAATTGCATCATCTTGACGCTGGCGAGATATCCGAATGTCTATCAAACGACCAGTATACTGAGCCGCAGTCCGTTCTGTCTTCTTATATAGCTATGAGACAGCTATTAGATGTGAAATGATTACATAGTTTTAATCACAGGTGTCTTCGTAGCATTGCTCACGTTTGGTGGAATCATTGTCTGAGCAGTGTTGAGGTCAGGTGAAGGGTACTAGACAAAACAGGCAAGTCTATTGATGAGGTTGTGAACCTTAGTTGACTGAGATAACTTGGACATGGTACTGCGCATGTTGAGCCACCGCCAACCAAGACATGTCATCAGTCCATGAAGTCTCTTACTGTTGGTCTGATTCGTGTAGGGAAATATATACTGTCTGATTGGGGTTCCCGAGACATTAGGAATCAGTGGTGAAGGACTCTTGGTGAGATGGCTGAAAATCGGTCACAGTGGCACAGATGTATTCACTCATTGACATCTTCTAAAGCTTGAATATTTACACTAGGCATTGTCTTCATATTGTTTATTCTCTCACACAACTTCGTCTACTTAAATATCAGGCCTTTTCTATCCATCTCTTCTTCGTGTACTACTGTGAAGTGTGGTAACTTGAGTCGGTGCACCTGTGTATGAGGTTCTACGTAGATTTTGGCAATCAGTCAGTAACCCCACTGGATGATGATGGTTTACAACGTCGACCCGATCTACATAAGACTCTATGTGAAGGTTCCACGATACATGACCGGTGCTGCAAAGGTAACGAACGGCGTCGAAAACTTGTAAACTTATATTTTGTCCCTTAGATGCAATGGACACGTTTCATGATGATATAGGATAAATTCTGCCCACATTGGGCATTCGGATCACTGACTGAAACCAACAATGGAGTAAATTGGCAAATGCCAATTGAGCTTTCTATATCAGTGCTGAGATCTCATCGACCATCAACCAGCCATGTTTGATGTGCTCTTCCAGGTTGGTAAAGTGGTGAGTGTGCTCATCATCAGACGGAATATTGATGCAGATATGTTCTGGGAAAAAAACTGGTACCTCCTTAAGTATTTATTGATTTTACAAAGCAATTCTTATCATCAGATAGAGAACCATTAAAAGCCGAGGATGGCTTCACAGCTATCTCGTCCCAGTTTGAAGAGCTTTCAGTAATATGCACAGAAGATTCCAAATGTGACCAAACCCATGTTCACCTAGTTTAACGATGGACATCATACGGTTCAGCTGCTGGGGTTAAATTCAATAGCCCCAATACATAAACTTCTGTCACTTCATGATATCTTGGAAACGTCTTCCTATTTCATTGGTGAGCGTACATCTTAGCGTCCAAGTTACTTAACCTCACAGATCTAGTCTTTTACCAAAAGTGTGGGGAATCTACCTTGCAGTCATTGATTAGAACAGTGGTGTAGACATAATTTAAAACAAACAAACTGGAGATACAAAACATTTCTTCAGATTAACCAACTAACTTACACAGCGCACAGAAGAATTAAGTGGCTGTGATGATGATGAACGAGGTGTTAGGGCTGTGTTGCTTCTTGGGGATTCAACGAGGAAACGTTGTGTGTTAGCCTTCAACCGACTAGCACTACGGTATAAGTACTCAGAACTACCAGAGATAGAAAGGGCTGTGGTTAGGGCATATGGAATAGAAGCTTGACATAATGGAATCTTAAGGCCTTGAGTGGTTTTTACAGAATTATTTACCTGAGAGATACACGGCTGCATTATTGTTTCTTCGTGAGACTGATTTAAAGTTGTTTGGTTATCACTTGAAATAGTGGAGTTGGAGGGTTTTGTGAGTACTGCAGTTGGCCTTAAACACTGAAAGCTGCCTACTAATCCACCCTCAAAGACTGGTTGTAAAGTTGTTAAATTATTTGTATCTTTAACATACATTGTGGCTTTATTAGAGACGGGAACACCAGGCGGAATAAGACTAGATATCTGTGAATTAGGTGGATAATTTGAAAGTGTTGTTGAGTCTTCCCATTTTGTCGCCATTTGATTACTAACTGTGCAACCACCATTATGCGCTGAAGAACGAGACCATAACAACTCATGATGCTGATGATCAGGATGGTCTAGGATAGTTGGTTGAGATCGGAAATCTCCGTTGAATATCATAGCAACTGAACTGAGATCATTAGACGGTAAATTATTAGTACTGGAAGATATAATCTTTTGGTCTGGTGAACAAGTGAACATAGAATAAACAGATTGGGGAGGTATATTTACATGGAGTTGTGTACACATAGGAGTAATAGACTGAATACTGCTTATATGCTGCTGTTGTACACTTGGACAAGATACAAAAGACTGTGGTCGACTGCTATATGTAGCTTGAGAAATGAAGGATGGAGTTACAGAATTATTCGGATAAAGAATAGTAGAATTGCTATCACCACCGACTTTCTGTAAAGATTCAGTAACATATCTAACCGATTTCATACTGTTCGATGGAGCTTTCGATGACTTTTGAATATGTTTCGTAGAATATGCTGATTGTGATTTGAATGAGTCTAGCGATTGAACTGTTGGATGACGTGAGGCAGGAGTGCTTGCATATTCTTGATAATCTGGATATTTACTTCTTATGATGAAAGGATCAATTATCAAGTGTTGTTGATCACAGCTATTATTATCAACCGGGTCAACTCGATTATTATCAAGTAGAAAGTGATTTTCAAGAAGAGTTTCATTACACGACTGTTCACTAGACGGTATATATGATGTGTATGGGTAGGGTATATGTTGATTAGATTTTGCTGTTGACTGAAGTGTGCCGTGGTTGTTAGAAGGGGATTGATGAATGGACGGTTGTGATACTGAAAAAACAACAGGCGTTCCAATTAATTCCATTGAATAAGCAGTAATATCAGATTGAAGAAGATCTTCCGGCACGAATGAAGAAGATTGAGGTTGATGCGTGTCTAGAGGTGTATTCGTTTCGAAATGTGGTTGAAAGTGCTCATATTGATTACTTGATACAAGTGGCGGTACAGATTGTAGATTTGAATTAGAAGATAACGACATAGTTGGCATCAAAACATTCGTATTCCTCAATGGACTGGAATCTGTGGAATGAAAGATGTAAAAAAAAACTTAAAACCAAAACTTAACAAAATCCTCAATGGTAACTTGCTGGCCGCGAAACCTGGAGGTCATGGTTCGGTCCCTGGCGTGGTCGTGGGTGCGCACTGCTGAGTCCCACACTAGGGAGAAACAGTTGTCCAGTGCTCCCATGTTTTTAATGTTTCTCCAAGTGATGTCAGTCCATGATGAATACCAACCTGAAATCAATCAATAGATCTCCATAAACCTCCAAGCTGAAAATCACCAAGTCTGTTTTTTTTGTAGATGCTGGCAATTTTACAAGCCAGATGGTATTTCATATCGTCATAATATTGATCATATATACTGGAGCCAAACATTCCAACCTGGGTGGGACTCTTGTCTCAAGATTCTGTACTGCTAGAAACGGTGGCTAACGAATAAGGTCAAAGGAAAGTAATCTCAGTGCAGAAATCATATAATAATTTAACTTCTGAGGGTGGATTCATGGTTTTAAGTGTGCGTAGTTTTATGCACATCAAACATTGTTAGTGACGGGGCTTCACTGTCCAAACGGACAGTTAGCTGCTGTCTTGATGCGTTTGAACTTCCCTATTGTGACAACCTGTCAAAACTATGCTGGTAATAACGCCTCTTCTCAAAAGTTCCACTATGCTACAAAGTTTGGTTCTATAGTGGTACGTTACTGACATAGTGAAAGCAGTTTAAGCTGTAATTGAGAGGGATTGAGAACGAAGTCTACTCGACAGGGATGTAACGATAGTGAAGTATTTTCTTCAGGAGATCAGCATTTCAGCTATACTGACTTAGAAAGTTTTGGAAGGAGAGGTAAAAACGATAATCCTAGAATCGGGACTTTTTTCCTTCACCAGTATGGCTCTTCAGGAGACAGAAACACAACTCTGTTAAAACAAAAACCGGTCAAGAAGCTATGTGTAACCGATTTCAGACAGATAACCCTTATACTTGTGATAACATAGAACTAATCCACAAGATAATGCTAACTTCCACGATATACAGCAGTTGAAAACTTTCTCCTGGTCATAAGCTACCAGCAGAGAAGAAATCCCTGTTGATCATAATCAACACCTATAACCTTTAACGAATCTGTAAATGTGGAAAAGTCAGTATCCCTAAGTAACTTTAAAAAGAACTAGTGCGAACTTTTGGTACAAGGATACATTTACCAGTAAAATCCATATATGGTAAGTGATGATGCAAGGTAAGATTTGGTAAACCCGATAAAGTGCAAGCCATAAAACACGTTCAGACCTATGTAATAGAAGAATGAACTGAGAATGCTACCAAACTGTTACAAAGACGGGATACTATAAGCTATAACATCAAATTATACCAATTGCACAAGGAATGGTTTCCACGACTCAGTAACCTAAAAGATAATGCTTCGGCATTTGAAGCGATGAGCACTACGTTTGAGCCCTAGTGGGAATAACACCCCTCATTGAGAGGTAGGTACATACAGCTGACAAGTCTCAGATGAAACGCCCATCTTGGACTTCAATATTAAACAGAAGCACGTTTGAATCGGTCACTCAACAGTCCGAAAATGAAGTCCCACATCACTAAGGTCACAACTCTAGGTGTAGTATTTAGTTTTTTAACAACATTGCAGAAATCGTTAAGGAAAGTAATAATTTACCTATGGACGCATATTCAGTTGTTTGAACTGGTGGATGTCCCAAAGATTTGCTATCATCAACACTCTTGAGCTTATTATCATTATTGTCAATGTCGCTTTCATTGATCTTACTACTCAATTCATCCAAGTTGAAAGAATTCACCTCGTCACCATCGCCATTTGAAGACCATAATGTTTTTGAAGTCACTTCTTCAAGATCAGACAAACTGGCTACATCGATTGCTGCAGTTGAACTAATATTATTATAACTTGATGGGATGTAACCCAGTTCAATTAAACCTTCAGCATCGATGAGACGACTGATTAGTTCAAAACTGGATATTCGATTTTGTGCATCACCATTATCATCACAATGTGAATCTCTGGTGACATTTAACGGCGAAGTAGGAAGTAATGAATTTAAACGAAATTCTGGATTTGAAAGATAATTACTGTCAACATTTTGATCATCATTCATAATTGCAGCATGAGAATTTATATACGGAAATGAATTCTCTCCAACAGGAATATTTTGTGAGGATAGGGATGATGAATGACCATTCTGATCAACTGAAGAGACAGATTCAGGTGCAACAACGCTCACCGGTATCATATGGTCGTTATTATGTGCCTAATATTTCCAGATATTAGGAGATGTGAGAAACAATAGGGTTATTTTGCTAGTTACATTCAGAATTGATAATATCTAGTGATTAAAATAAAGTTACAAGAACAGAAGTTCAGCTGAATAAAAATCAATAAAAAAAAACAACAGTGATTGAATGCATGTAGATATATATCATATAGAAGTCAGGATTTTCTATCGATGTTATATGAAGTAAAAAGATCTATGTCAAATATATATGGACATAACCAACCTGATAATCAAGTAATGGTCACAAGTGATTACACAGTTCTTGGAAAATAAAATTCGAACCAAAGATAAGTGCAACAGACGAAGACCCGGCATTAACCCGTGAAGTCTCTTACTGTTGGTCTGATTCGTGTAGGGAAATATATACTGTCTGATTGGGGTTCCCGAGACATTAGGAATCAGTGGTGAAGGACTCTTGGTGAGATGGCTGAAAATCGGTCACAGTGGCACAGATGTATTCACTCATTGACATCTTCTAAAGCTTGAATATTTACACTAGGCATTGTCTTCATATTGTTTATTCTCTCACACAACTTCGTCTACTTAAATATCAGGCCTTTTCTATCCATCTCTTCTTCGTGTACTACTGTGAAGTGTGGTAACTTGAGTCGGTGCACCTGTGTATGAGGTTCTACGTAGATTTTGTCAGTCAGTCAGTCATATGGCACCGCTGAGATATCTCACTTGTAACTTAGCATTGTGTACTACACAGCAGCACTAGTTTATAAACCGCGAAACCACCATGTTTGGGATCCAGAGGTTAGGCGTACAGTCTTAGGTAGAAGAGGAAAGTCAATTGACGAGGTTGTGAATCCTCATCGACTCAAGTGGTTAGTCTGCACTTAGCGATGCATTTTGTGAGCTAAATTAGGGTTAGTGTAAATACAGAATGATCATAACCAAGCTAAAACTTATAATCAGTCCATAAATGCGTGTTTGAGGTGTGTAGGAAAATATAGGCTTCCTGTGTGGGATTCATGCCACAACGGAAACTGATAGTTAGATAACCCAGGAGATTTTGACCGAAGTCGATCTCATTAGTGAAAATACCTCCTAACCTTTATACCACATTTTGTCATTTGCCTTAGTGTATCTTTTTGTATTATCGCTTTATACAACTATGGGTTATGCTATTTGCATTCCTTCGTCTTTCTTCGTATTGCTTTGGATCATGATGTAAGGTATGGTAACTTCGACCACTAAGCTGCAGTGTTAGATCCCATATTCATATTGAGCAAATGACTGATTGGTCTGTCCTACAAATAATTTACCAGGCTTAAACGTGAAGATGATTAGGTAAGTAATCTAATGTTTGTACTATTTATGTAAACTTTAGTTAGCCACGTCGGTTTTCATATGAGGTAGTGTAGGGACTCAAAAGAATAACAAAAAGTTTGATGTTCCTTGTGTATTTTCATACTTTTAGAGTCCCATGCTCCTTATGTTATTTGGTAGTGACCAGTTTATCAGTGTAAAATATGGAGCATTTTGACGTGACGTGTATTTAAGCAAGTAGGTAGTATATTTGGAAATACCTAACTTTCTAGTTGTGCTGTAAAATTTATAACTGGCATTCAAAAATTTCTTCAACCGATCACATTCTTTTCCATGTGAATTTACTTTTCCATACTCTTAAAAAGTTCATTTCCACTCAATAGTTGAATTTCCCCTTCCAAAGTTCACTTGCTTTACCTTTTTCTATCACTCGGGATCCTGTCAAGAAGTGCTCCTTTCGTAGAGCTTCACTCTATGCTCTGCACTAACGCGTTCACGGGAAGTAGCATTTAGACTCCGGATACAGAATACATTTTGCACATACTTGACAATACTTTATAATGATGTCTTTAACGCAGTATTTTTTTTTGAAGATTATGGATATTTTCATAGAGTGCCGACAGTTTGTATCGTTGGGATCTAACCACAATTACTTCCGGACTTAGTCACTGTATATTTCTAAGGTTTCCTTTCTATGCTTTTTTGTTTCATCATGGGTTTTTTTCATAACGTAGAACGAGATCCTTTTATGAATAGTTAGTGGAATCTATTTGGAGTTAATGCCTTGGAGAACTTTTTCCGTAGATGCTTTTCCACTGACTGGCTGACTGACAAAATCTACGTAGAACCTCATACACAGGTGCACCGACTCAAGTTACCACACTTCACAGTAGTACACGAAGAAGAGATGGATAGAAAAGGCCTGATATTTAAGTAGACGAAGTTGTGTGAGAGAATAAACAATATGAAGACAATGCCTAGTGTAAATATTCAAGCTTTAGAAGATGTCAATGAGTGAATACATCTGTGCCACTGTGACCGATTTTCAGCCATCTCACCAAGAGTCCTTCACCACTGATTCCTAATGTCTCGGGAACCCCAATCAGACAGTATATATTTCCCTACACGAATCAGACCAACAGTAAGAGACTTCATGGACTGATGACATGTCTTGGTTGGCGGTGGCTCAACATGCGCAGTACCATGTCCAAGTTATCTCAGTCAACTAAGGTTCACAACCTCATCAATAGACTTGCCTGTTTTGTCTAGTACCCTTCACCTGACCTCAACACTGCTCAGACAATGATTCCACCAAACGTGAGCAATGCTACGAAGACACCTGTGATTAAAACTATGTAATCATTTCACATCTAATAGCTGTCTCATAGCTATATAAGAAGACAGAACGGACTGCGGCTCAGTATACTGGTCGTTTGATAGACATTCGGATATCTCGCCAGCGTCAAAGATGATGCAATTCGGCAAATGCCGAACGGACCTTCTGTTTGCGAGCTGAGATATTGTTGGCAATCACTCCATTTCTGGTCGATGCCACTACATAAGTAAGTGAAGTGGTCAATATATCCCACCACTTTGCTTCCTATTATGAGACGAGACAGTGACGCAAATTAGTGCCCAAGAAAAAACATATATCTTTTACAGATTAGGTGCATCCAAAAACATCTTCAATTTGTCATTCAGTGCCCAGGAGATTGTATCTGTTTAGCATCTTCATCTAAGGCTATATTATTTATGTACTGTAGATTTACCAAGGATTCTTCTACGACAATCCCAATTACTCTGTAACTGGGTAGGGAAACAGATTCTGTGGTGAACGCTACTATAGGAATGTATAGCAGCAGCATGTACAGCAGCGTTGGGAAACATAAGACGTCATAAAGATTATCTGATGGAGATTCTGGGGGAAAGAATGAAGAATGCTGAGTACCAGTAGAGGACAAGAACAATGCCCACTGGGAAACTGAAGAAAAGAAATTTTGTTAGTGTGATTGTAAGGTTTAATATTTTGACAATCCCAACCATAATTTTCCAAAATGCAATCTCTTCTGCTCCATTAGACTTCGTTCCAATATTTCCATGAACAAGCCTATGATAAAATTGAGATCCATGAATCTCCGAGAACCTTAAAACTGAATTATTGTCCAGTGTTTACCAGTGATATGCTTCGAGATGAGATTTCCTCAAGTTCTATTGAGAAGTCATGATCGATGGGGCAAGCTAAGTTGAATGTGGGGACGAATACTCAATGATGACAGAAGTACGAAAATTTGGACCATTTGTTTCGACTTATTTGCTCAGTGGTAACCTGCTCGCAACAAAACCTAAAGGTTTTGAGTCGGATTCCTGGCGAGGTCATGCGTGCTCACTGTTGAGAAGTTACACATCAGTATTAAAATAATATCCAATGCCCCCAGGTTCTCAATGGTTTTTTATTTGATGTCGGTTCATGAATACTAACATGAAGTTATTAAATCCTCACAAACCTCTAAACTAGAAAAAAGGAGAGAGTGAACATTCCTGACAGATACCACCCGACATAGATAACTCACTTAATACCTTACCATAAGCGCTAACAAGACCACAGATATTCGAGAGTAGAGCCTTCAGAAGTGTGGTACACTTACCAGGGGCCTTTTCCAGTCATACCGTTTTGAGGCTTATGCTTTGCCGATCAGACATTTTTTGGTCTCATCCAATGTATGATAATAAACCAATTATCAGTTCGCTGTTTTGGTCTTGTGAACAGTGATCACTTTCAGGTCTCGTAAGTTCTCGGAACCGATCAGTCCTCAATTCAACATACCTCATAATTTAAAATTGTGTTTTTAGCAACTAAGGATGGACAGCAGTTATGCAAACATGTTCAAAACTGTTTCCCAGATAGTTACGTTAAGTCCTGTGATGCAAACTCTTATCCTGATTCATACCTTTTCCTCCGTCCTTTACCTTTTTCGTTATCATTTTTGTTCTTTTTAACTGCTGAAAACCCAGTTAAGTAAAACAAGTTGGACTAATAGGGGATTATACCAGCCCCGGTATGCACAGATGCACTACAAATCATCTTCGCCCAAACTGTGGTGTCACAAATTTATAACCTTTCATATTCGTTTTATCCCTTATTTTAACCTCGCCTAGTTAACCAGTTCACTAGTTACTAGCCCCTTCTGAGCCCAGATAAAGAGGCAACGTTCAGCATAGGGATAGCAACCCTACACCGTAAAACTAATCCAATCGCTAAACAAACTTCAAAGCACAAAGAAAATCAAAACAAACTGATTCCTCGCTGGAATCAGGGAGACGAAATGACACCAGCTGACGATAGCTTTCGAGAAGCCAATTACCCGATATATCATCTCTTCTCTCGATGAAAACAAAAGTAAACATGGGACATGGAATGTCCGCACAATGTTTGAAGCTAGCTGGTTGGCTGGCTGGCTGGTAAGACTGCCCAGATTGCAAAAGAGATGAGAAGGTATAGCATAGAAGTACCAGGCTGGGAATCTGAGAAAGCAGATGGAATGCAAGTGGACTCTCCAAACTGTCAACTGGAGAGTCAATAATCCACTCCGATATTCTCACACAGACAACAACCACCAGTACACTGAGTTTCCGAGTGGCTATCATCATGTCCCCAACAGCATCGATGGCTCTCTCTATGCAGGCTCTCATGGGAACCAATC